CCCTCCCTTGGGATTTCGGGTGTCACATTTGTTTAGCCCTTTTTTTTTTTTTCCCCTGGCGCCAAAAATTTTCCCGAAACCACCCAATTCTTCCCAACCCCCACCCAAATTTTTCCCTTTCCCCTAAAGGGTTCACGCCAGTACCCCCCCCCGCCCCAAGTTCCCAGAAAGGGGGGCCGGGCCGTTCCCCCTCGTTTTTTTCCCCCCTTCCCCCAGGCCCAAGGGTTCCTCCGGGTTTTGTTCCCCCCGGGGGGGGGTTGGGGAAACCCCAAGGGTGTGGGGGAAAAATTCTTCTTCCTAAAAAATTTCCGCGGGGTCCATAACTTCGGGGCCCGGGGACCACCCCCCCAGGTTCCCCAGAGATTGTCCCAAACCCCCCGGGTTCGGCCCCCGTTCCCCGGTTTCCCAGGGAAATTCCCTTACCCGGGGGTGGGGGGGGGGGGGGGTGCAGTGAATAACGGTTCTCGGTAAGCCTGCCCGCTGAACTGCTGTGTGCGGGGTTTGGGCATAGTGCGAGAAGGCTGCACACCCGCAAACACCAAACGCGAGCAATCGATTGCGGCTGAAGCGTGTACACCCAGTAATGCCCTACACCTCTAAGCGCTCCGTGCCTCACGGCCGGCCTGAAGTTGTAACTCTTCTCATGAACACTTGTACATGACGATCTTCGGGCTGGGGGAGCAACCGGAAAAAAAAGAAAACTATCCCAGGCCCTCCCTCCCACCATCATCATTATTTTCAGCCTGCACTTGTCGATCTTTTATGTGCTATACCTACAATGGGAGTTCCTTTACCTTCCTTGATCCTCAAATCCAGCCTAGTTCGAGCGCTCGAGGATCCAGGCGCCTGCTCTAGCGGCCAACCAAGCCCCCGCAGCACGGCGGAGAACACGTCGGGATGCAGGTACAGGCACGCGTACAGCGTCTCCGGCAGCGAACCCCCCTCGTGCCAGGCAACCTCGCACACCGACATCCCGTCCAGCACGGACAGAGTCCGCTGGCTGGGGCCGAAGGAAGAGGGGTGGGGCGGTACCCCCGGCGTTTGGAAACCCGTTGCTGGCGAAGGCGACGAAGAAGCTGCTTCTTCGTGGGGGTTGGGTGGCGGTGCCGGTGATGTCGGTGGTTGTGGTGGTGCTGGCAGAGGCGGCACCGAACCGTCCAGGTTTGTTGGAAGTGCGCCTGACGCGATCCTCTGATCTAACGACTGGGAAGAGGTGGGGAGGGATTGCATGGGTTTGGGCGGTGGGAAGTTTACGACATCGTCATGACTGCTGTTGGTAAACGATAGGATTGATGGTTGATGCGTAGCAACGTAGTGGCCGCGAAGCTGCGGAATGAGTGAACGTACTCTGAGCTGACTGTTGGAACCTTATTATCCAACAACCCGAGCAACTATCCGAGTGGTGTGCGACGAAAAATTAACAAATTTGTACCCCTTTTGTGTAGTAGGGCTGTGACCAGAACGTCGTGTGTACCCTAGTGTCAATGGCTCAATCAGGGCCTCATCTGTTCCCACCCTTGTAGAGTGTCTCGTGTACAGCGTATGTACGTAGGTGTAACGTGAGAGTGAAACCACGAGTTGTACGGGATCAATGTATGTCCTCTTTGATTTTTACGGGTGTGCCCTTTTCGGTTAGTCGGCCTGTACTGTAACCGCGGAACGCGTCAGTTGGACCAGACGGATGTTCGAAGGTACCGAGCAAAGATCGGAATTATTTCTGAAGTAACGACGGCAACAACAACAACAATAACAAGAGCAGAACCCTATGCCAATTTGTCGATATTCTCGTTCAGCAGCAACCCACAGGAGCGACAGCCTGCCATGGTTCGCAATTCGTATGGTAACACTCTGTGGAAGGAATGAGCCATGGGTTCAAAATGTACTAAGCTCCGGCACACTCTGGGCGAAACCTTGCCGCGGCGAATGTGGCAGCAAGTACCAACACTTGTACACAAGGGCAGCAGTCTTCGAGAAAAAACTGGTGAGACCTAGACCAAGGGAGCGAGAGTGAGAGGGGTGTACTGCTTGTACAAGTCCCTTCCCGTTCAGGCAAGGTTCGGCGCGTTCATCCAAATCAACATGGAAGAGGGGTGCAGGCAGTTCCCATTCAGGCAAGGTTCAGCGCGTTCATCCAAATCAACATGGAAGAGGGGTGCAGGCAGTTCCCATTCAGGCAAGGTTCAGCGCGTTCATCCAAATCAAGATGAGAGGGGTGTACAGCAGTTCGCCTCGAGCAGGCAAGGTTCAGCGCGTTCGTCCAAATCAAGAGAAGAATCTCCGAGGGCGAAGCAGTGGCTATATGGAGCATTGATTTCTACAGAACTAGGGCTGTTAAGACGGCGCTTGTTGTTGCTTCCGGGCATGTCGGGAAGGGGGAGGTGTTGCAGCAATGTGCGCACAAGTAGTACCGCTTAAATGCCTGCTGTGGGTTACCCACAAGGCACAACCACAGCCCTTTTCTTTGGGGTACCACCAAACGTATCCATGGGAAACGCCGTGGGCATTCCAGCATACATACGACTACGAGGTTCAATCCAAATCAGCGCAACGCACACCGGTCGTTGCGGGTTTGTTGGCCGCGGCAGTCATAAACGGGACAATTGATTGTCGGTACTGCTGTTTTTCGTGTGCGGGGTGCGCTTGCTCCTGCTGCGCCAAGCTCCCCTGGTCCCCCTGGTACTCTCGGCCCCAGCAAGAGCGAGAACCCGTTTGCGGCGCGGTGGAACAACGCTAACGCTTCCTCCCGATAATAAGAAGATATGCTGGGACAAGACAGGTACCGCACCTCAAGCACAGGAGGAGGCTTGTCCATCTTGGTGTCCATGAGCTCCAGGGCAGACATGGCGCCGTACAGGCTGAAGTCCGCGTCGTGGATCATTTCGTCTGGGCCAAGCATGGAGGCTGCAGTACGGCAGAGCTGCGTGACATCAAACGCAACTGTCGATGCGGGAGCCGTGCATTGCCCGCCATCCGCGGGGGGAGGCGAAGGGGCCTCGCTGGACGCGGGATCCATGGCTTCAGCCCGTTGTATTTTCCGAGCAGCCGCCCGTCGTCTGTCGTGTGCTTTGGATGATGCTGCCCCACCTTGCTTTCTTGCTTTGGGTGTGTTCAATGGTTTGCGGGCCAACAGAAAGTATCAACAGTAATGAGCGGTACCTGCAGAGAATATCCTCACTCACGACTCCCCCGTGTTCTGGGTGCTCAAAACTCACAACACTACAGTCACAGTTCTGTCACAGGCAGGGCATCGCACCTACTGCTACGGCAGGGGCTCTTCCGGGCATTCCTCCTCTCGACCCCCTGCCATGTGGTTGGAGTCAGCTAGAGGGAGAGGAATGAAGACCGGCGCCCAAAGAACGACGAGTGCATCAGCATCAGCAACCATGCTGCTGATGCAAACGTACGTCGTATCCATATCGGCTCTCACCACTAGCAGAGCCCACCCAGCGGGCGCTTTGTGCACCCCAACCACACCCGCCTTTGGCCGGTGTTGCTTGATATCTCGGCGACCGTCCTCCGCAGTCGTCATGACTTCGGCAAGAAAACGGCACGCGGCCTTCGCGTTCGGTCGTACGTTGCTGCTGGGGCGAGGCTCTCCGTTCTTCCAGCGAGGGACAACAGACACGGAGCACAGCAGCAGCATTGGAAGAAGCCCGTCGGTGCGAGTAAACGGCGCGGTGGATGACTCCGCGTCAGCGTTCCCGGCCTTCCCATCCGAGCGAATTAGCGTGGAAGCAGCAGCAGCAGCAGCAGCCGGGGCGTCTGCCAGACCCCCCTGGCAAGCCCCAGCAACAGAAGCGGCGCAATCTCAATCTCCAAGCGGAGGTGTTGCCGCCGCCGCTGCCACGACGTTGTCGCTGGAGTGGGGCTCGGAGAAGCTGCAGAAGCTTCGGCAGTACGTGTTCGAGCTCCCCGAGGACACGGCCGAGGAGTCGAGATTTCTGATCATGGCTGCCCTCCTTGGCGTTATCACCGGTACCGCAGGTATGCAAAAACATATCGTCTCTCTGACATGAAAAGCGCATCGTCTGTGTATCGTCATGATGTCATGATTCCTCACGTACGGCACAAGGGTTTTTGACAGTTGATCATGCCGCGTCTCAACGGGACCTCGATGTGCCTAGGCCGAGCCAGCAGGCTCAGAGTACGCAGCACTAGCCTCGACGTTTATAAAATAAATGCCCTAGTTCGAAGAGCGATGAAGGCGCTGGTACAAAGCAAGCTTTACGCCTTGGCTTCATGCGCATATGTACATTCCGCATCCAGGCCAGGCACCGTTGTTCGTTCCGGGGCTGTTATGTACAGTAGTAGCCTACTTGGTACAGTAGTAGTCCATTCGGCCATCAGCAGAAGCAGCAGTAACACCGGCAGCAGCAATGCAGTGGGCATGAATCTATTTGCTATGCTGATTCGGTTGCCTACCAGCGAAAACAGCAGCAAAGCTTGTGTCGGTCTTCCAGGCCTCGATTGCTGGGTTTGACGACGGCTTGGATGTGCACTCCTATAAAAGACACATGTGAACAGCGATCTATGCAAGAAATGGAGGGCAGGGGCCATGTGCCCAGACAGTCCTGCTGTCGGGAACATGTGAGCCAGCCAGATAACTCCTCCGCGCAGATTACACGGCTCGGTTCCTAAGCGTGTGACAGCTGCCACGATTGTGCCAACCCCTCCGTACCTCACGTGGCACCCCCAGAGCCTTGCATTCCAGTTATGTACACATGCACGTCTTTGTTCCCAAAGCGCCGTCTACGCCCCAAACCCTGACCCCACCCCCCACACTACATATGGCTTCACCCCCCCTTGGAAAAAAAAGTAACCATCTTCAAGACCCTCATCGGAGCCGTGAAGAAATTCTCGTACGACGATCTGATTGGCCGAGTTCCTCCGGGCGCCGCCTCCACGTGCATCGGAGCCTTCATCCCCGTACTCGGCGCCATTGGGGTGGTGTCCTTGATGTGGGCGCTGCAGCTCAAGTCCTACGGGCCTGGGCTGGGCGGCCTAACCGAGGAGGTGGACAGACAGGTTCCCTGGAGACCTCGAAGGTGAGCTGATTGCCAACGACAGGGGAAGCCTCTTGGCCAACGGGTCCGGGGGTTGCAGTTCCGATTGCTTTGTTGCCTGCCAAATGGTCACAAAGGTGAACACAAGTACGTCCCCTCATTGCTGTGCCATTGTGTGTGTACCTTTGCGGTTGTGCATATATGTATACACGTAAGGTTTTGGAGCATTATACCTTCTTCCAACAGCCAGTTAGTTCTCGAGGAGGAGGAGGAGGAGGAGGCACACGTGTCAGATTAACTATGTCATGTAAGTGTGGATTCAACGACCCCGAGGGTGAAAAAGGCAACCACCCCCGTGGGAGCGAGCCGCAGTAAGCTTTTGCTCTTCTAACGATCGGTGGTGGTTGGTCTGGAATCACGCCACGCGTGCTTCAACACCAGCTGCAAAACCACGCTCGCCATGGACGACCTTTGAAGCGGCCGTCTACATCGATACCGGGATACTCTCTCTATCAAAGACCGTGGAAATCAGTCCACCAATCCGACGTGTCACCTCATTCTCCCCCCCCCCCCTCCCCCCCCTTGCCACCACCGCCTCAGAACGCTCGGGAAAACCCTTGCCGCGGTTGCTACGCTAGGGACGGGGAACTCACTAGGCCCGGAGGGGCCGGCGGTGGAGCTAGGGGTGGCCTCCTCCCGCTGGGTGTCGGCCATGTCCAAGTTATCGGTGCAACGGCAGAGGATGCTGCTCGGCGCTGGGGCGGCGGCAGGGGTTGCGGCAGGGTTCAACGCCCCCATCGCGGGCATCTTCTTTGCCTTGGAGATCGTCAAGGTGCGCACCGTTGGCCCTTCCCGTGACACGATCAGGAGTTGCTAAGTTTTTTACTTCTGGGGCTAATAGGAAGTATATTTTTTGCCAAGTGTACAGCAGTTGCGAATGTTGCGTGCTCCTTCCGGTCTTGTGGCCATGATTGCTGCTGCTGCGTGTCGGCGACTGCTGTGATAAGTTTGGAGGGTGGTGTGGAGGGGGCCGGTGTGTGCGACGGAACACGCATGTTGTTGTGAGGGGTTTTGAATCGTCGATCGACTCCCACGTCTTCTACGCCGCCAGTGGAAGTACGTGGGCTTGGCTTTGTTTTGGATAGCACCAGACAAGGTTAACGACAACGCTCACAGCTTTAAATGGTTTCTCCGTGTTCCCGAGATGCTACCATCGATACACAAAACTCGCGTAGGCTCCAACAACTCGTGCTTGTCGCGTGGAGTTGAAAAGCAGCCCGGCCAAAGCGGGGCGAGATGGGGAAAAGTCTTGTGTTGTTTGTCCACCTCGTCAAGTAACGTAGTACACTTGCACAAGTACTCGCGAGAGCACGACATTTCCATCACACATCCACCAATACACCGCCGTAGCGGCTGTCGATACGATTTTTGTCTACTTCCACTACCGTACAACCAACCGTACAACGTACCGCTAGACAACACCTCGTTTCTGCGCTCGACGCCCTTAGCGCCGTGTGTACCCGCTCGTGTGCTTTTTGTGCTGCTTTCGCACAAACTCACAGGACACCTTCAACACGAACTACAACAGCAAGTCCTTCATCGCCGCCACTCTTCTGTGCGCGGTGGTCTCGGCGCTGATGGCCAAGATCGGCCTTCACGACGAGCTGTCGCTGCGGCCCGCCGAGTACAACTTGGAGTCCCCGCTGATTGAGCTGCCGCTGTACCTGGGGTTGGGGGTGGTGGCCGGGCTGGTGGCGGTGATGTTCAAGTACTTCTCCCGCAAGGTGTGTCGTCGGTGGTGTTGGTGCGGCAGCTGTTGGTAGTGGAGGGGTTGTTTGTTTGTTGGTGGTTGTTGTTGGTGGTGTTATTGGCGGTGTCGGCGGCGATGTGGTTTGTTGCTGTTGTGGTTGGCGATGTTGGCGGCGTTGTTGTTATTGGTGTTGTTGCTTATTGCTGTGTTGTACTGTTGTTCCCAGCAATGCTGGTCCTAGCGAAAGTGCAACGGCCGAGCCCTCTGTACCTACACCTGCACGCTATCTCTGTGGGTCAGTTAATTGGCTGCGCATCGATGTAAGTTTCACCTAGCAAAGCTAAACAAAATTTGGCCAATAACTGGTGGATGTGTTCCAGAGAGAAATGATTGTCCTCCCGATCGTATCCCCGCCCCCCCATGCTTGTGTTCAGAGCCCGAACGACAGTGCCCCCGTGATATAGATGCCGAGTCAATAGCCAGGTTTTAACACAAGTAATAACCGCGCCGCCCGCCCCCTGCTCGCTCGTTCCCGCGTGCCCAGAGCGCAGACGTGTTTAAGGGAAATTTCCCGGGTTTTGGGTGGATGAAGAAGGCCCCGCAGTGGTCGAAGCCGATCATGATGGCGGCCGTTACCGGGACGGTCGGCGTGTTCTTCCCGCAGGTGCTTGGGTGCTTACGGCCGGAGGGAAGGGGGGAAGCAAGGAGTGTTGGTTGGATAAGGGTGTGGATGTAGTGGTTCATCATACAGATTGGTAGCGTTGACGGCTGTAGTGGGCTGCTTCTTTCATCGGTTTGCTTGGTTCTTTTTCATCACAAGTGTGAGAAGCAAGAGGGATCGTTCGCTGCTGGCCCTGGTGCATGTGTTTGTATTTTTTGTCTTCATCAATCGCAGCATACTTTTACCTCGGAGTGCGTTTTATCTACGTGTATGAGGCCTGCGCCCAAAGAAGGGGGCCGCTCTTTTGCTCATTACCCATCGCGTTGCCTGCAAAACAAAGTGATCTCTCGACGAACAAAAAGTAGGAGAAACTCCAGGATGTTTTTTTTCCTCGCCCACTAAAACTGGGGGGACTGCTGTCGCCATAATAATTAGGACGAAAACACACAACACAAAACACTGTTCTTGGGCGCAAAGAACTCCTAGTGCGGAGCAGCCGCTCCAAGTGCAGGCTCATATCCCGCGCGTTGCTGCGATAGTGGGACACGTATGTGCCGCGACCTGCAGCAGTAGTGCTGTCTTGGATCTAGTCTCACGCTTCGATGTCGTACCACGCCCTGGACCTAAGCACTGGCCTGCTTTTGCGGCCTGAAGATTGCAACAAGATCCCCTGTTTCGCGGCGTTCATCCACGTTCAGGTGCTGTTCTTCGGGTACGACACTCTCGACAAGCTCCTGGCTAATACCGGGTCCTACAGCTTGCCGCTGCTTTGCTTTTTGTGCGTGGCGAAGGTGAGGTTTTTGTGGGTTTTGTTGGTGTCGTCGTCGGTGATGGTCCTGGCCGTGGTGGGGGTGTGGATGATAATGCCGGTTCGTTGTTGCTGATTGTTGTTGTTGTTGTTGTTGATGCTGCTGCTGCTGCTGTTGTTGCTGCTTGTTGTTGTTGTTGTTGCTGCTGCTGCTGCTGTTGTTGTTGTTGTTGTTGTTGTTGTTGCTGTTGTTGTTGTTGTTGTTGCTGTTGCTGTTGCTGTTGCTGTTGCTGTTGTTGTTGCTGCTGCTGCTGCTGTTGTTGTTGTTGTTGTTGTTGTTGTTGTTGTTGTTGTCGTTGTTGTTGGCACTTTGCTGGTGATGTTGCCGCCATGGTACTCGGCACCTTATCCATCAGCAGGTGCCACGTTGGTCTTATCTTGACTGATGTTGATGCGGAGAGGTGCCGCGTTTTCTCAGAGGCCGACGACAAAGGCAAGCCAAAACCTCTTTGTTTGTACACGTGTGCACATGATTCGGCCTCCTATACGGCAAAATCTATAGACTAGACGAGTGTGTCTCTACGGAGCGCGCACACCGCGGTTTCGTGTACACGACCTGTTCGATACATCTCGCACGTTCCAAACATGAGACACACGAGACGATCTGAACCTCGATCTCACGTGCCAGCCTTACGTGGTCGAGGGTGACTGCCCCACCTCCCGCAACTGACATAATCCCCATGACTCTTCTCGATGTTGTTGGTGCGTGCAGGCTCTGCTGACGGCAGGTGCCTTAGGCTCTGGCCTCGTCGGAGGGACTTTCGCCCCTTCGCTGTTCCTAGGCGCGACGGCGGGCGCGGCTTACCAGCGGATACTCCAGGTGGGGTAGGCGGTGTCCAACCAGACCGAAACTCCTGCCGTTCGGTTCGTCTTGTGTGCGTGTTGCTGCTCGTTGTGATGGTGTTCTCTTCCTTCCCTTCCTTCACCGCCCACCGCAGTGGGTTCTGGAAATGATCCGCGGTGTTGTTGATGCTGCTGCTCTCGCAGTGTGCCATCTACGATTGGGTTGGTCATGTTCCTTGCCGAACGGCATGAGGACACGGGCGCGTTTGGTGGGCTGTAGGGGGCTTTGGCTTGTTGCCGGTGCCGGCGCTTCTCAAACTCATCGATTTTCTTGAAATTCCAACTCCACCCCCCCCCCCCCCCTCCACTATCGTCAGGAGAAGGAATGAATCTGCCCGTCTGGAGTAATGCGCACTCCTGAACGGCGGTCGCCTTCTTGAAGGTCTTAGTGCTTGGGCACGCCCGTTCCCCGTCCGCCGTCACTTGTATGTCCAGTCCTCAAGGGCCCAACATCATTGGTGAAAATTTAACTGACCCCGACGACTACTGCGGCTCGCACAGTCAACCAAAACTTAACGTAGCATATCCTACCCCCGCTCCCCCCCCCCCCAAACAACCGATAGGGGCCCCCCCCCCCCCCCTCAAGGGCTGTTTGACCGCGTTCCGATCCACCGCTGGGCCATCCCTGGATGCCGCGAGCACCTTCCTGCTGCCGGTGACATCGGTGCTCGGCCTAGGGGGCCCCGGTGGTGACCTGAGCTCACTGCTGACTATCGCGGGGTCCCCGGCTTACGCCATGGTCGGCGCGGCCGCGGTGCTCTCGGCGCTGTACCGCGCGCCGCTGACGGGGTCGCTTCTCCTGTTTGAGCTCACGAAGGTGGGGGCCCCGTGCGTGTTGATGGTGGTGGGGGGGTTACCATTGTGGCGTTTGTTCCGGTTTCGGGAGTAGGGCGGGGGAGGACGTGTGTGCGACGACTGTGTGGGTTCGTCAGATGAATGTGCGCTCCTCTGCGGCGTTGCAGCTGGCCCAGTTGGTGGCCGGCCTGCGTCTTTTTTACTTTTTTTTCGGCGCGTGTTAGCTTTGGCCTGACGAGGAGCTCCATAAAGCCTGGTGCCCATTAGAAGCCGGGTGGACGGAAACTTGAGCATTTTCGAGTCTGCATCGGCACCACTTTTCGGCTCTACACACTATTAATATAACAGAGCCGACATGGGTGTGGATTTCACACGTTCGAGGGTACCGTTTCACTTGCTCTCTTGGCGTTTGACATCGTGCTGCCGCTCAGAATTGTAGTATGAAAGCCGCCTCTTTTTCTTGCGTGGGCTCGGCTGCTTTCAGGACTACGATATCGTGCTGCCGCTCATGGCGGCGGCTGGTGTCTCCTCCCTAGTGGTGGAGGTCTTCAGCCGCGCCGATGCCCCTGCCGTGCAGCCCATGCCTAGAGATATGAGCCTCGAGATCGGGCTCAAGATTTCCGGGAAGGCGGACAAGCTCATGGGAAAGATCCAGGTGGGTGTTTGGTTGTCGCGGTGGGCGGACCGGGCGTTGTGGAAGAGGGGGGGGGGGGGGGACGAGAATCTCTCGAGAGTTGTACGAGCAAGGTAAGCAGGCACGTTTTGGTTGTTGTTGTGGTTGTTGTTGTTGTTGTTGTTGTTTTTGTTGTTTTTGTTTTTGTTGTCGATCCGATCGGTGTCGGTTTGTGGTTGCTGCTTGTTGTCGTCGTTCGTGGGGTTGTTGTGGTGCTTGCTTTGCGACGGTCGAACGAGAAAGCGGGCGAGCGGTACGGATCGGCTCTCGTCGCTGCGACCGCTGCAGCATCACCAGCACCAGTACCAGCACGCGGCGAGCCACGGAAGATGCGAGAGATGAGCAAACGACATGTTCGAGAGAGAAAGAAAGACAAGGCACACCGGAGGCTACGGCGCGTGCTACTGGCAGGCCAATCCGCGCGAGAAAGTAGCAAAGGCGACGGCGTCACAGATATTTCTTCCTAGGGAAGCAGCGACCAACATCTCGCGCTGGGAACTACCTCCATTGATGTTCTGGTCCCCTCCGGCGCGATGGGTTTCTTGTTTCGGCCGGTGCTCTATGCGCCAAGCGCTGCGAACCGAAGAGCGTTTCGAGCAGCGATGCCTATTTCCTCCTCAGCCCCCCCACCCCTCCGGTCCAAAACCCTCGACCGCGGGCGCAAACGACAATCAACCGCTGTGACAATTTTCTTCTTTCGGACGGTGCTTAGAAGCAGTGCTACGAAAAGGAGGGCGTTTCGATCGGCGATGCCTGTTTCCTCTGCAGACCCCCCCCCGCACCCACCCTTCAGTCAAACCATCGACCCCGGGAGCAAACGAATATCAACACCGGCCTACACACAGAGACACCCGCCCCGACCACTTCGTGCCATCTGTGGACACCTTCCCTCCCTCCTTCGTTCAAGCCCTTCCGGTGCCATGACCTTCTCTCCCTCTGCCTGCGGCCCGACGTGGCAGATCTCCAACCTTTACCCTCCGCCTGCCCCCCCTCGCCCACTCCTTTCCTCTCACACGGGAACTCCGTCCATGTTGGTCGACATCGACCTGGATTATTTCTGGCCCCGCTTGTTGTTCCACCGCACACCCGCGCTACGTGCTTGTGCGCCGCAACGCGGACACATGTATGTTTGAGGGGCGATTGTTTGCACCGCGCACCAACGTTAAGCAACATGTTGTTGTTCAGACGTTTGCTTACGCGCCAGAGAGAGACCACCGGAGCAAGCATGTGTGGTGCTTTTTCTCGAGCACGAAAGCGCCACCGGTCCGAAGCTCTCGGGAGAAGCGAGCACCCGGCGAATCGAATCCACAAATAGGCGTGTCGCTCCTAGTAGGCCCGGTCTGCGACACCCCCTCCCCGCTCGTCCCGCGAAAGTGCTTATTTAGGGTGCCCCCAACCCCCTGGTTGGCGTTTCGCAGCGGAACGCCTGAGAGGAAACGTTCGCGATTGCGCCCCCCCCCCCCCCTTTCCCTTTTTTTTTTGCGGTAAGCATGAATGGTGGTCGAGCAAATTATGTTGTGCGGGGTCGATAACCCTCACTCCGCGCAACGGGGGATGATCGCACCACGTTGTGTTAAATTTGGTCAAGCTTCCTCGAGGCAGTTACACAGTGCTTACAACTGTCTCTGGAAGTGAACGCACCAGAAAATAAATTAGGTCATACGCAGCTGTCATCCGTACGCAAGGAAGTAAGCACAAGATGCCGAGCGCCCTTAGCAGGATGCAGCGCACCCTTCATGCGACTCGCCGAATACCTCACGGCGCTTCGCGCTTGGTGATGTGAGAGCCTGGTCCGGTGAGAACCCGGCGTGCTCCGTCCCGGCTTTGTAGGGATGCGAGGTCAATGGTCTAACGACTACGGCATGCACGACTATGAGTACACCCCCCCCCCCCGGAAAGACCGATACACCGACCGAAAAGTAATCCACACCGATCTACGGCCAAAAAGCGAGGATATATCGCTGAACTCGTTTAATTTCCGGTCTCGAGTTGCTCGTTGAGATTGGGGAGGAGGATGGTGGTGACGGCGCTTTGTGGATGGCCGCAGCTTCGAAGGCCGGCGTTGCGATAACCTTTGCCGGACATATACCTGCGACTTCCCGCCCTCGTACGTCGCGGCGTCGGGGAAAGAGCTGTGCTTGAAATTCTGGTCACGCGTAGGCAATGATTTGATTTGCAAGGTTAACGATGTGCCATGAACAATCACCCTTCCTTCTGACGCACACATGTGCGACTCTCGTCAGCTGAACGGGTGTACCCCCCCCCCCCCCCCCCCCCCCATCCCGTATTTTTTGCCAGGTGACGGACGCGCTAGTGCCCCGAATCCTAGCCCTGACGGCCGACACACCCCTCCCGGAGGCAATGCGAGCCTTCCGCCTGACCCGCAACGAGTTCGCTGTTGTCGTGTCGAGCTCGGGTTTCGACACCTACCAGGCGCCTTCGGATTCGTCGGGGGGGGGGGACAGGGGGCGGCTTACCGGGCAGACGGGCACGAACGGGGATACCACCGACTGGCACGCACAGACTCTTTTGGCCGAGGTGCGAGGAGGAGACGGTTTCGTGGGGGGGTCGTAAAAGAACAAGCGCGGGTGGGGTCCTGCTTGAAGAGGTGTTGCGGCAGGACCTTTTTGTCCATGGGGAGTTATTTTCATCGTGTTCAGTGGCTAGGTTCGACGATGGAGATGAGTTCATTGCGTAGCGAGTACTGTACCTACAATGGGTGTCAATGAGGCTTCTCACTCTGCGAGGGTGGTGCTAATGTCAAGCCAGTGTGGGTGGCCTTGGGTGCATAGGTTGATTTGTGGTGAAGTTAGGCGCGAAGCGTAGCTCGCCGCTCAGCGTTGTTGTTCGTCATCATTGCATATGTCTTCCTGACAACGGAGGCTCCCTGACCGGATTATATCTGTCGCTTTTCGACCAGCACTAATCCTCCATATCGTACCTCTCGTAAAACACTTGCAGGCTACGGTGTGCTAAGGATTCGCCCCTGTACCCTACACATCGCTACCGTTGTCTGTCATTGATGAGCCAAACTTGGAACATCTTAAACTCACTCAATAGTGACTTTTACGGGGTCGATTCTACCCATGCGGCGGTGAGAGACTCATTAACTACCCCCCCCCCCGCCCCCTACCGTATTTGCACGACGACCACCTATCCCCTAACGCATCGCTGACATGGCATGACACGACCATGGCAATGCAGGACCTGTGGGAACGACGCGACATGAAGCTGGTCGGCGTTCTGGCACTACGTGAGATCATCCTCGCGCTAGACCGGGAGCGGGCGAGCTTTTCGGAGGACGAAGTCAGGCCGGAGCTCACGGCGGGGACCGTGTGCCGACAGAATTGCTTCACCGTCAAGGTGAGATAATTGAACGGGAGGACACATGGTGGGGCCAAGATACTCGAGGAACTCCGTATGTTTATGTCATATTTTCGACCCCTTCTATCATTGGTGCCATATGCTCGTGTGCTATTGTTGGGGCTGGAGAGAGGAAAAGACCCTCATGGGTCTTCATCCATCCAAAACGTGAAGCAGAAGGAATGAAGTGGCTTTTTCTTTCAGTCGAAAGTGATAGACCCTTTTGCCGTTCTCCCCCGTGCGCTTCCATGCCGCAGGCAAGCATGGACATCGCCTCGGCAAAGAAGATCATGACCCTCAAGGCCATCCGTTACCTGCCCGTCGTCGTGGACCTACCCTTGCCACCGTCACCTGAGCCGGTCACTGGCGCTGCTATGGCCACTCCTCCACCGCGGGCTCCGGTGTCCATCGCCAAGACCGCTGCCACCCGTGCTATTGCACCCTTTACAAGGAGAAGATCGAACAAAAATAGGAGAGGCGAAGGGAGTGGGAGCGATGGAGGCAATGGTAGCGGAGAGGATAGAGATGCCGCACAGGAGGCAGCGACGGTGGCGGTGCCTCCACCGCCGCCGCCGCCGCCGCCGCAGGCACCGAAGGCGGTGATCGGCGTCCTGAGCAGGGACTCGGTGCGAATCGCGAGCCGGCTCACCGAAACTGAGCGGGCGATTTGGGAGAGGCCCTCATATTCACCGCCGCCGCCAACGCCGGTGCCGTTGTCGCCGCTTTCGCCACCGCCTACGCCGCCACCGCCACCGCCGTCGCCCGCGGAGAACAGCTAGAGCATCTTTTTACCGATAGGTCGTTGCTAGCGCGCTGCCTCCAGAAGAGGGTTTGTATCGTTCGGGCGGGAAGGTGTTTTGTATGTTGGGGAGAACCTTCTCATGGTGTATGTACACGTGTCGCGCTTTTTTTCCGGCCCCGTTGGAGCAGCGGTCGTGCTAGTGCTTCGCGTTGAGCGACGGTGAGGCTTGGCTTTTGCCAAGGGGATCAAACCGGGTCCTGAAGTGAGTGGCAATGATACGGTTGCCCCGCTTTGCCTTGGATGTTCTCTCCGCCGTAGCTGCTTGAAACGGCTGCGAGGGGGTGCCAAACTTCGCGATGGGGTACTTCGTCGGATCTCAAAAGTAGACACGCGGTAGGATAGACGAGTAGGAATCTTAGGACGGTTTACCATGCCACGGAATGTATTTTTAGTCATCTGCCGCCTACTGTAGAATGGTGTTCATCGTCTCGGGGGTGTTTTGCTAACATGCGGGTACGCCAGCCACGCCGTTTCATGTTGCACTGTTCCGTTTCGCGCCGAATCATGTGTCGTGTCGTGTCGTGTCGTGTCGTGTACCTAGACTATCCGTTTTGTGGTGGAATTTCCTTGTGTAAGCATTGAGAGCAGAGTGTGATCGACGCCAGATGAGGAGGCACGGTAATCCTTGGAAGGGCTGTATTTTACCGTGGGGTGAATATTCCACGGCGCGCGGAAACAGTTTCGAGACAGCTTTGCTCTGCCTGCGATGCTTCGTCGACTGCACGTTACATGGACACAACTAGGTTTGGTTAGGGTCTGGCAGCTGGACGGGCCATCAACCCATCCGATCGATCTTCCCACAACAGAGGTCCATCTGCCCGCCTCTCGCACAGTCGGTGACCATAGAGTCAGGTTTTGTATGTGAGGTTTTTCGTTGTTGCCGCTAACTGAAGTACATGTTTTTTGCCCGATCTCTCCCGGATCCGCAGCCGCACAGTAGTAAAATATGACACGAAGAATCCTACTGCAGCTGGTCATGGCGCTCTATAGATCGACTATCGCGCACGCGAGAGATGTTGAAGATCTCCGCACATGGTACGGGGAGGAAGGGGGCCTACTACAGTCAACGCCTTACCTGCCGAAAGTATGACGGGTGTGTGTTGTAACTGTCGGCAGACCTGGATTACGGTGGGGTCTCATTTTTTGGGACGATCTAAAGGGTCATTTCTGGTGCGCGCCGTCGGAAGTTGTTGGGTTCCGTTAAATGGAGCACTTTCGCAAACGAGCAGAGAGAAGATACGGTCCATTTTTTGACGCTGTCGATCAGACCACAGTAAATGTGGAAGATACATGGATTTCCGACCATGGATAGGACGAAACCATTGCGTGAAAGTCACGTAGCTTAACTCGTTGAGTAGCTTCACATCGTCCTCTGGCTGGTCCTACGACGTCAGAGTAGAGCCTAGTATCACGATATGATGCGCATCGTCATCAGTACTTCTGTTGTTGTTGAAATATTCTACTGCATGTAGCAATGCGAACGAAACCAACCAACGTACATACCCTCTTCGGCATTTAACTTGCTACCTATGCAGGATAGAGAGTTGGCAACGACCAGAACTTACTTTTTGTTTAGGTGCAAAGAACGCACGGTGTGTGCTATTTATACTCGTTCGGTGAGCTACCTCCCATCCATGCAGCCAACACGAAGTCTTGTTTATGTTGGCTCACTTACGGTAGACCCAAGAAAGAAGTTGGAGTGAAACAGGTGGTCCATGACTAACATCTGTGCAACCACCATGGATGTAAAGATGCTCTCACGGTCCTATCATGTAGCCATCAAAATGCCGGCAGATTGAAAACTCCTTGCTATCCCCCATGAAAAGCATCTGCAAGACAAATGACTCCTTCAAGGTAAGCCAACGTCCGGTTCAAGCCTAGGTCGCGTAGACTACAACACATCAGGGGCGTCAAACTCTGTATGTGGATGCTGACTTCATAAAACTGATCAGCACTGAACACCGTCCAACCCCCTGCGGAAAGAGAGACGGTGTTCTAATAATGCTTTAAACGCACCATGGTTTGGACAACAAACGTACCATGGTTTGGTCAACAAACGCACCATGGTTTGGTCAACAGCTGGTGTTCCAGATAATACAGAGTTCACGAAAGCTTCCACCCTTCTCTCTGCGCCGTGTATACTATGGCGCCGGCGTGGCCTGAGGCGTAAAGATCTCACGGCTATCATCACGGCGCTTGCTCCCAGAAGCCTTCTTATCGGCGACACTCTGCGTCGTGCCGGTATCCGACAGCCTCGCCTTCCCCCGTTGAGGAGAGACACCCCCGTCGCCCCCGCTACCGCTCGTCGAGCTCAAACGCCTGCCCTCGGCGTCCAGACGACCCCGGCGCAGGGCGAACAGTCCGAGGGAGGTGAAGAGCACGATGGCGGCGACGACCCCGGCCATGTGCACGTAGCTGTCGGACCGGATGATGCCCCTGATCGTCTTCCCCCCCGAGAGGTCGCTCCAGAACATGCCGTCGTCGTCCGCGTCGGAGTTGTCGCTGGCGGAGGCGAACACGGACACCGGGTACCGGCCCGAGGATCGATCCACGGAGAGAAGATCGTACCCGCCCGGCGACATCGTCGTGATGGACGACGCGGTCGAGAAGACTGCGCCTTCTTCGCAGGCCGAGCAGTCGTAGCCCCCCCCGTCGATCGCTTGCACCTCCACGCAGGCGCAGCCCTCCGTGGTGCGGCTCTCGAGGGCTTCGTTCAGGGCCGCCACCAGGCCTTGGTTGCCCTCCGCCACCGAGGAGCTGGTGCCTTCCACGAAGGAGATGATGTACGTGAGTACGGCGTAGCCGTCCGCTTCGGAGGCTACGACGATCTCGACGGTTACCGTGCTGCGGTCGTCGCTCGCGGATGCCGTCGAATGGTCGATTTTGACCTGTGTTGCGTCATGTTGTTGGTGTGCCGGTTGGGACGAGAGGAGAGGTATTGAGGAGGAGGCGGGCTTACGCCGGGGTTTCACGCCGTCAAAAGAGGCTCAAAATGAGCTAACTAACTTCTGGATCAAATCGAAGGGTTTCTTGGCGATTGGATGTCATCATTCAGTGGATGTGCTGCTGTCTTCGCCCATATTCTGGAGGGGAGGGGGCGGTGGTGAACTCTTAACGATTGCTTCTCTCAAAAACTACAAAGCAAGCCAAAATTTGGTTGGTAGAGCTTCTGATGCCAGAGGTGGAACTGGCCCTTCAGCACACTTCGTAAGGTCAGGGCGGCGAAGTCGCCGCCTCCGATTCCATGGCACCACCGTTGTCGGATGCCAAAAATTAATTTCGTCAAGGCCGCAGATGATTCGGTGATTCTCACCACTCCCGGGACAGCTTTTGTTGGTGGTATGCTAGTCGCAGACTAGAACTATTTCACTGACGAAAACATAGTTGGACTTATTTTACCGATGGAGTCGTGGTGCTTCGTGTGGGACGCTCTCCCGACACTAACGTTTGTTCTCCCTCTTACCACCACGGAGGAGGTCTCATCGGTGTAGTCGCCGGTCTCGGCAGATATGGCCTCCGCTAGGCCGGCTTCGAAGGCCTCGGTTGCTACCTGGGCCACCGGTATCCCGTCAATGTCCATCTCCCACCGAACAAACCTTGGCAATTGTTTTTGGGGAGAGAATGACGAGTGATTCCCGATGCAAACAGGAAACGGGGGAGGAGTTCAGTAGGAAGAAGGCGTAAAAATAAGCTCCCTTCCTGCAGGTAGAGGTAGTTCACAAGAAGAGGCTGTCTTCGTCCATCTGATGGTTCGGAAGTAAGAGAGCTTTGGTCCCCCAGGGACTGATTTCTCGCCATTTCGCGCGTGACATATGATCTAGGTGTGGATGTTCGCCATGGGTTAGGAATGGGCAACGGGAAGGGTACTCGTTTGCTCTCAAGAACAGCAAAATAGTTACTATTCATTGCTTCCGTAGAGCGAAGAGCGAAGGCTACATGAGTTAGCAGTGTCAAAGCGAGGATATGAGTCATGTATCAGTTTCAAAGCGATGGCGAAGGTTGAAGCCGGGAGGAAACCCACGGCAACCTCCACAATGCCGAACGCTGTTCGCGGTATTGGCCAGGAAGTTACTGTTTAGGAACACCGCTGTGTCAAGCCTAAGGTATTTTGAAACCGTCAGTATTTCCAAGAGAGTCTTCACCTGGAGCGTTCGGAGTAACTTCCGCCGACCGTCGTTCTTCGTTTTATTTCTTTCAGAAATGCAACAAATTCATCTCTTCCACAGATAAGAGTCCGGGATAGATTAGCAATGAGTTGATCGTGTTATATGATGACCAACTTCTACACTTTTATTGATGTGGTTCCCCGGCCAGCATATGACGATCTTCCTCCTGTGGGAAATTATTTTTCTTCTCTAATGGACTGCGGGGTGTCCACAACGGCGACAACGGTGCTTCGCCGTGTTGAAAACGTACCAACATGTTCGTGGGGCGGGGTAACAGGAGGTTTGTGGTGGGAACGGTGCTATACCAAAACGCAAAACGATGCAACATCCCGCCCGAGGCGGGCACGAAGAATAAAATAAAGAAATAACATGACAACCGACCAGGACAGTCGTGGGTAGCCTCCGTATTCAAACCTCGGGGCCCGCTTTGAAACGAGCCGTAGCTTTCGAGGGGCAGACGTGTGTGCTTTTCTCTGGCCACGAGAGTTCAAGACCTTCCGGTTGTTGGTGCTCGGTTCTGGTCTTAAAATCTCACCAAGATCTTGCGGTGGAAGCCGTGGGAGAGTAGGTCCCAGCAACTCCGCCGGTCACTACGAGGGCGTAGTACGGAAGGCTGGTCGTCGTCACGCTCGCTGCGGTGACCGTCACCTATTGGTGAGGCGTGTCGATTGTTTTCGAGGAGGAAGAGAATATCGTGGCGAGCGAGGTACAACCGAGCACGAGAAACGTGCGCTTGTTTAGTTGGGTCTAGGGTTGTGTTGTGACCGTCGAGTCCCTCTGAAGGAAGGTACGCGAGGTGTGTTGGATGCAAGGGTTGGTCTTAGAAAGCAGCACGGATACGCCACCAAATGAGCAACTGGAGCGGCATCAGCTGCAACCAAACAACAACAACAACAACATCAACAACAACAACCCTGCAACAACGACAGCATCAACAAAAAACAAAATAGTACCCTCACTCACATTGAACCACTCGTAGGAGTCGACGTCTGGGATGACGACCATCTCCACCGTATTGTCGGGGTCCTTGGCCGCCAGGTTGTTGGGGTAGAACGTACTCTCCGAGGTGCCATCGTAAGCGACCACCTTGAGATCGAGGTCATTGAAAACGGGGGCCACAGACCCGGAAAATCCCGCGGGCTCCATCCACACCATCGTAACCTTTCACAAAGAAACAGGAATGACAATGGTGGGGGTTGTCGTGGTGCTTTGTATCACGGGGTCATGGGCGAGAAGTGCCCCGTCGTTGAACCCTCCCTGCGGCGACCTTAGCGAGCAAGCGGGAGGGTATGGAGAGTTTGCAGGCGAAGGCTGGGGCGGCGAGTTGGCCCTGTTTGAATGTTTACGTTGTTGAGGTTGAGGGCCAAAGCAGACTTTGAGGACATGGCTACATACTTGTCTCCGTCCGGGAATCAACAAACAAAAATATAAATTCAGAAAAATGTCAACGCGGTATGTTCCTCCCGGCCATAGATGAAACCGCAATCGGGGATAGGAAGATCAGCAGAGCGTACGTAGTGTAGTTCCATGCCCTCGCCCGCCCCTATTTCGTGATGTCCATTCATTCATGCCCCCCTTTTGTCTCTCTCACCTTCATATCGCCGTCGAATGCCGAACTGGAAACCCCGTCCATCTCGATGAAGTGACTGTTGACATCCCCGTGGGTCATGTCCACCCGGTCTTCCACAAACAGGTCCACGGAGCCCCGCACGTTCAGAACAGAGTCTAGGAGCACGCGGCCGAAGCCCTGGATGGCGTCTGGTGGGCTTCCCAGGGTCTGCAGAGGCAAGTGGAAGATGGTGCGTTTTGGGAACCCCCGATGGGATAAGGGAGGGACAAATCGGGAAATTGGATGAAATCCTGTTGTTGGCTGGTCGGTCGGTGTGTTCACGAGAGTCTCTGAGGACCATGGGTACATGTTCGTCACAGTTTGAGGTTTGCTGTGGAGTAGGACAGGGCGTAGCGGCCAGCCCATGCTCGTCAAAATAAGTTGCCGTTGTCATGACCCTACCACGCACAGCAGTTGACGCTGCACACGCAAGTATGGTGCGTGTTGCTCAGTGAAACTGAGGGAGATCTCTGCGTAGTCGGCTGAGAGGCGTCACGTCGGCACTTGATTTGTCTCGCTCGGCAATGCTCTTATTCGCGGTTCGCACCTCCTGCGCCTGGCGGTAGTACCTCCATCTCAACACACTACTTGTGCCAGGACGTACAACCGACGCCAATCTACAAGCTCTACCTGACACCATGACATTGTACCAAGCAGCACTGCCGGTTGGCATTGTCAGCTCAGCAGCACTAAACGATATGGGGCATGGACAACAACGAGAGGCGTTCTTCTTACAGTTGACCCCGCCGAGCTGTCGTATGAAGCCATCGCCGTCCCGGAGGTGACAATCATGGCCTTTACCAGCGCGTTGGAAGGGTTGAAGATGTTCGAAGGCGTAGCGATGCCACTGGGGTACCAGCCCTTTTACACATCGTGTGGAGTGGGAGGGCGGCGGGGGCGTCAGGAATTCCGTCCAAGACGAGCATTTAAGGTCAGTATCAACAACGAAGCATTGGCAAAGCAGCAGCAACACCACCAACGCCTCAACAAAACTGCCAACAACGACAAAAACCAACGTCGACGACGACGACGACGACGACGACGATAACAATAACAACCAAAAACAACAGCAGCTGCAGCTGCAGCAAATAGCGAGCCCTACCTGAACGAAGTACTGCCGTATCATGGCCGCAGCTCCGGCCACCACGGGCGTCGCCATGCTCGTTCCCGCCATGGGTCCGATCTCGCAACTCGACTCTTGGTCAGGTTTGGCCTGTTCCAATTCGCCATAGCATGACACCGTACGCGTAGCAGTACAAGTAGCGATTGCGTTGTATATCTTCAGAAGCAAGAGCTTGGACATGAGGTGATGTATTGTCGTCTAACTTTTATGAAAGATGTTTCTCGCTCCACGTGTTGTATGGAGATATACTGTACATAGATCATCTTAAATAAAGGGCACCATCTCCCCAACGGTCTGCCGAGGACGACGCTCTCTTTTTCACACTTGAACAAATTCAAATAAGTCGAACACACGAGGTTCCTTCCACACAAAAGGACGTACGTCACAGCAGTTGATCGTACCGCCCAAGGCTTGACGAACATGGGCTTTTGGAGAAGAAAAGAGTGCGACTCACGAATATCTAGCGTTATCTCTTCCAGACACAAAAACACAGAAAGAAAAGTCGTCGACAATATTCAAGGGTCTTCAACATCCTTTATGCCCTACGGGATAACCCAAGCCTGCCTCTCACCGATGCGGAGAAGAGGTGGTACCCGGGAGCGACAACGTCGGGCTTGATCCGGTTGTCGTCGACCGTTGGTCCTTGTGACGAGAAGTATGCCACCTATTTTTCATCATCGTGTTCAGCACCAACGATAAGTTCATTTCCCTCTTTGTTCAACCTTCGTTTCGGTATTGTCGTCTTGTCCTGCGACTGTCGCTGCTGACGCCATGCAGCTATTCGACATACAAAAGGTTTCTTGAAGGGGGAGGGGGGAGGGCGAGGAGGGGCTACACATACACTCGTAAGGATTAGCGTCAACAACGACATGAACTCTGAGCGTACCGTGCTATAGTTACACTAATAGCAGTCTTTCCGGTACATTTTCGACGTGCGTATCCTGAGCCCGGTACTTGTCTGATTTAACACCTGTGACCGGTACAGATGGTAGCAGGTACTGCTGTAGAACGGTAACTACAACAACAACAACAACAACAGCAATACCTCGGAGTAGTAGCAGTGTGCCTTCCTTACACTTGGAGGAGGCGGCAACCGCCGCAGAAGCTTCGGAATTTCTTTCGCTTGTCCGTGATGAAAATGCGAGCAGAGAAGAGGTCAAGCATGATACAACTGTGCACATCGAACGCATCCGTTTCATACCTCATCCACGTTGTCGGCCAGGCCGGCTGTGCTAGGGCTCGCTTCGCTAGCGCCCACCGAGATGATGTTTTTCCCGAGAGCCGGGGAGAGGATTGACCCAGACCCGTAGATGTCGGCGTTCTGCGGTGTGTGATGATGGACATGCCGTCAGTCTATGTTTTTGTTGGGTGCTGCTTTGCACCAATGCAAGCACTCTTCACCGATTTTCGCTGTGTTTCTGAAGTGCATAAATTAACGAAATTGGAGCCTTCTTCGGTTCCACGATCTTCTTTCCGAGTCCAAACCCTGCGTTGAGCCACAACAAACACTGCACACTCCATGGCACCTGATACTGGCAGCCGGAGATTTCGTCCCCGCAGTTCCCTGCCGCGATGACGATCACCATGTCCTGGTTCAGGTACGCAAAGTCGTCCACCTGCCTGTCCAGCGACGTGTAGGTCGTCCGAACGGCCCCCCAGCTGTTGGTGCTGATCCGAGCACCGATGTCGTAAGGTGGTTGTAGCATCTGGGACTGAAGAGGCGTGCGTAGGGTGGTAGAATAAGGTTTTGGTGGTGTTCTAACGAGGGTTGGTGGTTATGTGCCGTCGAGCCGGTGTCGATTTCGAGCAAGTTGCACCTTGGTCGCTTCGCGTTTGGGTAATAATTCTCTCCCGTCTCTCAGTGGACGAGAACTCTGTATTGTTGGTTATGTGATTCCCGATTCCGCTGGTGCATGCTAGTGGGAACGCATGATTCAATGTTCCCCGTCGCAGCTGCTCATTCTACCGGCGTCGCTTTGTTGTTCCAAGAGTGAGTGTGTCCGAATGAAAGCGCTTCGGGAAGTTGACGTAGTTTCCGGGGCATGTTTGCATTTTTCATCGTTTCTCTCTCTCTCTCTCTCTCTGGTCTTTCAGACCCCCAAGCGCTTGCCAAGGGTATTTCCTCTTGAAGTGGGCTGAGCAGCGATTGGACGTTCTTAGCATTATCTTCCCTGTTCCATGAACACACCACATACGTGTTATCTTGCCCCGAGAAACTCCGGCTATATCCAACACATAGACGTGGTTTCGCGTAGATAAATTGTGCCGGTTCAGGCCACAGCGCGCTTCTCTCTCCTTGCATCCATCAATACCGCTTTCATTCTCTGTCTTCGTTTTTCGTAACCAAGATCCTTCCTACAGCAGAACAAACCCTCACGAATATTATTCCATCTGGTTCTTGCCTTGAGGCTGCTCGGAGTAACCAATCCCCCCTCCGAGTTCCCGAAGTCGAAAACCGCCAGCTTCGCGCCGAAGCCAGCCTAGGCCCCCAAGAAGGGGGATCCGTGAACGAAAATCGCGATGTCCATTGGCATCGCCGTGAATACGCCGGTTGAACGTTCAACAGACCACAGAGGCGGCCGAAAAGACCACCCAATGAGCCAAGGAAAATTCCGCCGAGAATCGTCACGAGTGAAGGCATCGATATGTGTCGTTGTTTGGGGGGAGGCGGGGCGGGGGGAGGAGGGCGACGGACACGTGTGGGGAGGTTGGGATTTCCGCGCAAACGAGAACGGCCATGTTTTTTGTTTTTGTTAGCCAGCGCTCACGGGACATGAACAAAGACTCCAAAGGGGGGAAACAATGAGTTGAATGTTGTTGCAATAGCACGTTGCAACCAATCAAACAGGTAAATGCCGTTACTCTTACGGTTTCACGCGTGGTTCCCGAAGAAAGTTGGACTCGCTCGTCATACACAATGTTTCCTGGGCAATTATTATCATCATCAACAACACAGCGTACATGGGGTTTCATCCTTTTCCTGTTTGTTTTCCTGTCGCTTGGTTGCCGTTCGCAGCATTTCTCCCCAAGCGAAGAGTGTCTACAGGAGTAACGCTCAGTGTAACAGCCCCCACCCTCTACCTTCCCCACGCAGAGGCAAGGACACCGACAACACGACAACACGCCTCCGAAGCGCGGCTAAATAACTCACCCCGTCACCGAAGTGTTCGCCAGGGGACGAGTTGCTCAACCCCCCCGCAGCGCTCCCGGCCACGTGGGTGCCGTGACCGTTCTCGGTGTCGACGCAGTCAACGAACCCGACGTACTGCACTATCTGATCGAATCGATGAAGCATCGCCGCACAAGACAAACCCGCGTTTCATTTTTAGGCAACGCGAGACATGGCGGATGACGTCACTGCTCGGACACATATGGCTTCAAGGTTGTGGCGGAATTGTGAGCTCGCACTGGTTCCACCCACAGATGAAAACACCACCCTAGTGAACCGACTTCGAAATAGTCCAGGCGGCAAAGTCTTCGGCCGAGAGGTGTTTGAAAACCCTCAACGCTTCGAAGGAACAAAATTCAATTCGCCGTCGTAAAACGACTCGGCGCCTTACCGGCGAGCCGAAGTCAGCGGTATATCAATGCTCGGTTTTATTCCACGCACGGAGCCCAATAATTGGGTCGAATTTTCCTTCGTGATCAATTGAATATACGCCATAATGGACGGGTTCGGTTTTGTTTTCGGGTGCGCTGCCGGCGGTTGTACCGCATCGCCACCCCTTGCACGTATCATGCGGATGCTTGGGGGGTTTTGATGTGTGCCTTGTCGTGGTTCGGGTGGCACCTGATGGGCTGTACCACAAGACGAAGACGCGCGCAAGCTATTGCCAGGAGGTTTGTCGCTAGAGCCCGACGATTGCTACAACGCACTCAATCAAGTGCAACGGCAACGTACATGGATGAACAACACACTGCCGAGGGTGAGGCTTGTTCGCACGCTTGACACGCAGAAGATGACGTCGCTGCTATCGAGCTCCGTCGCCTCCAGCAACTGTTTTCCAATTCGCGACCCCTTGTGTGCACCCACCAAATACCAGAAAACACACGACAACCTGCTGGGCAGGGCGAATCTCACCTTGCGTTTCGTGAGGTCGAAGACGGGGTTCGACCAGGAGGAACAGTCGATGTTGTCGTCGGTGAGGTCCTCAGTAAAGAAGCACGAGTTGACGTCTAGGCCCGAGTCCGCCATAGCAATTATCTATCGTGAAAGAAGACACACGTCAATGCCCATACAGGCGAACGAATATGTACACCGTCCTACCCCGACAAAAGAACACCTAAAATCGCAAGGCAGTAGCCATCCTTGTGCTTTGCCGCAAAAGAACAGCTGTTGAAGGACGTAGAGCGTCGTTTCGCAAAGAGTCGTGTTTCTCGCCGAAGACTGGCGGCCCAAATGCAGTTGTTTAATGCCAGAGTAATGTCAAGAACGAGGTAGAAAGTACTCGAGTCTAGGAATACCTTCACAAAGGTTCTACTCACACATGCGGTGCACCCACGAACCCCCAAGGGAGCAGGTCGATATGCATTGCCGTATCACCCAACCATGCCTCTCTCAGCTACATCAATGTCGCCAAACATACGTGCTCCTCGTGGAAAAAGAGAGCTCCCCTTTCATTCCGACACCTTGGTTTTGATTGGACAAGATTTCCCAGCAGAGTGTGGGTTGTATGCTTTATCCAACATGCCTAATACAACGAACCCGCCAAGGCTACTGGTTTCACTGGCACAGCGAGCAGGCAACTATCCTTGCAGATGCACATGTATGTGTTCTGCCTTGGCTGTAGAACACTCCTGACTCTAGAGGGTATACAGCACTTCGTCAAGTCCCCGGCCACACCAGGGTCATCCTTGCCTCTTGTCGCGTACCTCGGTACTTCCATCGATTCCCTCGTTCCACATCGAGTACGCAGTCTCTTCTCCGCTCTGCGTAATCCAGGCGGCCTCCACGTTAAGCTCGAACACCTGCGGTAGGTCATCCACGTAGGACACCTCGGGTCGCGTCACGAGGTACGCTAGGACGGTCAGCAAGCAGTGGGCGTTGTCCTCAGGCGTGTTCCCGAGTGAATCCGCGCCTCGCAGGACTACTCTGTCGTTGGCTCCCCCTTCCCTTCTCTTCTTGCCGACGGGGCCTTTATGTGACGGGCTTGGCCTCCTGTCCTGTCGTGTTGTTCCGTGCGGACCGGCACCTTCTTTGGAGTCTTTGGTGTTGGACCCTGCTTTAGAGCTCTCCTCTGGGGCCGACGATGCACCAAGACGACGAAAGTCGCAAGCTCCGTCCTTGCTGCTTTGGTCGACGGTTTGTTCCCATAAGCTTCCTAAGTCTGTCAAGCCGTGAGACTCAATCAGAGTATTCCAAGTGCGATGCATACGTGTCTGACTTGTCGGTGCTTCGTCAACGTTCAAGCCCCGCCTTTCGTTCCCGTCCGAATCTGCTGCACCTTCCCGTACAGCTCCCTCGTCTTCGTCTACAGGAGAATGGCGGGTCCAAACGAATCGATCACGCAAGTGCTCGCACCAAAAGTGTGCCGTAGACTCAAAGCTGGTTAGGTGCTCGATCCATGTATGCGCCATGTCTAGACCCCACGTACCAGGCGTAAGGGAGACATCGAGATCGCTAGGGAGGCCTTCGCCGTGGTTAAATCGGACACGCCGCAGCTGCTGCCCCTGCTGACTATCGTTATCGCTGATCATTGTTTCCCCTGATCCTGTTTGTTGAGCCGCAGGTGATGGCACGCCACCTGCTCTCTCTGTCGCTGCCGCGGTCAGCACTCTTTTTCTTGTTTCACCGTCGCCGGAATTTCTATTTGATGGGAAGAAACTATCGTTGTTTACAAGACCGACCGGGGATTTTGGAGGTTCGTCGAGCTTGGCATGGAGACTTCGCGAAAGCTTTGCTGGTTGTGGCAAAGGATCAACCACGTGAACCGTTTCGGATCGCCGCACGGTGTCAACCTCGTCAAGGCGAAGCCCCGCCAGCAAGCATACCGTATCGCCTCTAGAGTATGCCAGTTGAGTTCGGGCACGATGAACCACGCTCTCTACGGCAAGGACCGCGTCTGGATGACGGTCACCGCAAACCAAGAACGGAGACCGTGAGAGCGGTGTCAACGAATCACTCTCACTGGTTTGTCCGGCGAGTGACGACGACTGCTGCGTTTGGGTTGCGTCGTCTTGGGAAGCTAGTAATGCCCACTGTAAGTCCACGATACTTCGGTATGCCTCCTCGCGCACCGAAGAAGAATCGTCCAGCTACACATGGGCAACGGCAGCAGCGCAAGAAAGGAAATAGGCAAATACGAAGTGGTACAAGTTATCAAAGTGCAACAGCCTTCTGGACGGTGTGGGCTGTGGTTCATGAGACAACAGTGTTTCTGCTTGCTCGCTAGTCATGCGTTCCTATGACCCGTCTCGACGGAGAAGGTTCTCTCCAGACACATACCATATGTAGGCACCGTATACCGCCACATAATCCATGCAGACGGACCAGCGAATAACTTGCTCCTACCCCTGTCAAGGATGAAGTGACTCTGGGCTCTTCGGGCAACTAATAGGATGATTATATTGTTCCCGGACCGTCCGCCTTTCCGAGGCCCATGTTCACCGAAGACACCTGACCTTTGTCTGCACAAATACAGTACATGCTGGGGTAGGTCTGTATCTCACCTGTACCCCTAGACTGGTGTGCCACATTGCCTCGAGATGCTGCAGGCTTAATCCCTGCTGCTGCTGCGGCTGAGTTCGGCCATCGACACGAGCTTCTTCCCTTGCGGCGGAAATTGAACTTGCGAGATCTTGGAGGTCAACGTCGGTTCTCGCTGACGACGAAGTTATTGCGGCTACGAGTGGGGTCAAACAAACCGTGGCTATGATAAAACATAACCCCATCGCTAGAGTTAGAATGGTGCCGGGACTGCTGCTAACTTCCGGTGCTTGCTGTATGGGAAAGGTGGGTTAAGGTTGTGGGAAATGTGGTTGACGCGCTCGTGCGGTGGAATTAGAAACGTTTTAGCGGCGTGCGGCCTAACACTGTACACTGTACACGCGGGTGCGGCGTAACTATTAAAAGCTTTAGAGACCATACTGCTGCCTGCTCCTACTGCTGATTCGCGTATCTGACACAGGGCGGCATCCCTCCCTCCCAACCCTCAGGTGTGTGGTGCATTTGAATTGATCCGTGACCTTCGTACAAGTTGAACAAGCTCCCACCGACGTGCGTACACGCCAACTTGTTCGTGTATACCTGAGACCTGCCAACATTGATTGGCCTGCTGAAGCCTGCCTGGGGATCAACGTGCGGAAGCAGGGAGTAAAATGTGGTACCTTGTGCAATACGTACGTACGTGTGTTTTTTCGTACGTGTGTGTGTGTTTTTTTGCTTCTGTAAGTTACCTATACAGATGTTTTTATACTTAGCACCAGCTGGCATCACTGATATAAATCATCAGTGTATAGACTCGAAATAAGTCCAGTACCCAGCCAGCCGGTTTTCCTCCACTCACTGAAAAGACTCCACCACATCTCGTTCGACTGTGGGTATATCTCGAATGGGTAGTCTTTCTGTGTGTGTATCTACTATTATTCCTTAATTCTCCCATAAAGGGTGTTATGTACAACAATACAAATTTAGCACACCCGACAAACCAACATACCAACATCTTCCTTCTCCTACATCTTTCCAGGATAACATGCAAAGAGGTACACAAGACGGCGACCAAACTGTCTTGTTGAGCCTGTACCCACAGGGGAGATGTCGCTGTGTGTTGCTCGGGAAATCGTGGAAATACAGGTAGCCTTCCTCTGACGCTACGATTCATTGCTAATCTATCTTAGACTCTTTTTCTCAGATAGAGATGGATTTGTTGTGTCATACTAAGAAAATAATAAAAATAACCAGCTGGCATCACTGATAAAATAAATCATCAGTGTATACACTTAAAAAGGCTCGAAATAAGTCCAGTACCCAGCCGGTTTCCCTCCACTCACTGAAAAGACTCCACCACATCCCGTTCGACTGTGGGTATATCTCGAATGGGTAGTCTTTCTGTGTGTGTGGGTATTTATTATCATCAGTGTTGACTTTAAAAGACTCGAAATAAGTCCAGTACCCAGCCGGTTTCCCTCCACTCACTGAAAAGACTCCACCACATCCCGTTCGACTGTGGGTATAGACTATCTCGAATGGGTAGTCTCTTTGTGTGTGTATTCATTTTTCCTTAATAAATACACACACAGAAAGGCTACCTATTTGAGATAGTCTATACCCACAGTCGAACGGGATGTGGTCGTGTCTTTTCAGTGAGTGGAGGAAAACCGGCTGGGTACTGGACTTATACACTGATGATTTATAGCTATGTACTGCTACCGAGGAGGCAGCGGCGGGCGGCCGTCCTTCGTCTTCCTTCCTTCTGGTGCACTGCAGCAGCACTATGCACTTGACTTTAACAGCAGTAGAGGTACGTCGTGCTACGTTTTCTCTTCACTGCGGGGGATATCCAACTGCGGCAAACGCACCAGACCACCAGCTGGGCAACATCTTTCGATCTTTCGTCGTCGTCTCGCGGTTGCAGCGGTTGTTCGTCGTCGTCGTCGTCGTCGTGTTGTGGTTGCAGAAGTTGTGCGTCTTGACTTGACTGACTCGGGACAGCTTCGCGTTAAGTTGCGGGTGTTCTTAGAAAATACGCAATCCGATCAGTCACAGAAAGACTACCCGTTCGAGATACACTATGTATACAGTGGAAGGAGATGTGTTGGTGTCGATTGTACGGCCCCAAAGGGTCTCCCTGCAGGTGCTGTGTGTGCAACGAGGACGTCCCTTGCCAGAGCATTTATGTCCGCGGGTGGGCCTTTCAGAGTCTTGTTTCCAGCGAATTTCTTGTCAGGCACCCTCCTCTGGGTCAGGCGCCAAAGGGACGTCGTTGCTGCACATGCACAGGTGGAGACCTGCAGGAAGACCTAGGGCCACCCATACTATGGACACAAAAAAGCCTACGACGAAGACGTGAAGTCAGGCGACTCAAGACGCAAAACCGCTGCAACCGCAACAAAAACCAGTACCGACGACGATAATTGCTCCGTCAACATGTGTCAATATCGATACTGCTCCTGATGTACCCGTTGCTCTGCTTGCGTGGTTGGAAGCACACAACACGCCGCGGAACGTTCCCCTATCCCTACCCCCCCGGCCGCCGATCAATACCTCAGGGAGTGCTAACGATTTCTGCTTTGTCCCTGTCTTGACCCTGGGAGGCGCTATCCCGCCAAACAATCTCCTGCGTGGGCAATGCCTTGTTGGGTGTAATCAACATCTCCGGGGCGGCCCCAGGTTGGTCCACGGCGGCACCTGCAAAGCCCCATCGTGCATAGAAGTCATGGCCGTGTACACCACCCTGGGGTCACCTCCGGGGGTATCGATGACACCGTTTACTAAGACGGCTCGGTCCACGCAGGAGAGTTGGCGTGATAGCGCCTCTCCCGGGATCAAGACAGGGAAGCGTATGTATTACGCGTTCTGTCACCCCCCGGCCGCCGTTGTGGTACGTGCAGCGAAATGTTCGCCGATCAATGTCTCAGGATATGTATGTAGATTTTCCTTGCCCATGCCCCGGTCGCCCCGGTAGTCCAGTCGGTATCCTCGAAACCTTCAAATGGCCAGGGTCAGGGGTTCGCATGCCGACGTCAATGAGATTTTCTTCAAAGTGAGTTTTTCCCTCGCTTCCCTTTTGATTGTACTTGCAGTGCAAAATGCGCTAGCTGTTTGCTCGTATGTAGACTTTGAGGGAAGAGAGAGGTACTTTTTTCTCGCATGAAAAATCGAACGTAACACCGCAAGAGGGGTGAGTAGGGTAGGGGAGCTAAGGGGGGGCAACCCTTCTGTGTGACCACGGACTGGGCCTACCTGGCAGTGATGCTGTGAGCGCTGATTCAAAGTGATGGAAAAGAAACACATGCCCCTTTCTTGACCTCGGGACACGCTGTCCCGCCCAACTCTCTTGCGCGTGGAGACGGCCTTGCTTGTTGGAAAAGGGTATCATCGATGTCCCCGGGGCAGCCCCAGGTTGGTCCACGACTATGACCGCTATGTACAACGGCATCTGCCAAAGCCCCATCGCGCAGAGAGGTCATGGCCATGTGGACCATCCTGGGGTCGCCCCGGGGGGTATCGATGACACCGTTTGTTCAACACGGCTCTGTCCACGCAGTAGAATTGGCGGGATAGAGTCTACCGCGGGGTCAAGACGGGGACAAGTACCACGCGTTCTATCATCACTCCCCCGCCGCCGTTGCGGTACGTGCGGCGAACAGTTCGCCTGTGGATGTCTCATGATCTACTCGAGTGGTATTGATTATCCCTACCGCCCCTGTCTTGACCTCGGGACACGCTATCCCGCCAACTCTCCTGCGTGGGTGTTGCCCTGTTGACAAAGGGTGTCGTTGATACCCCGGGGCGACACCGGAGTGGGTCAATACTATGTCCTATATGCTCAATGGAATCTTCAAAACGCATTGCGGCAAACAAGGCGCTTTTGAAAGCGCTGTGCTGCCAAAGCGCTTTTGAAATGCCATTGTGCATAGAGATCATTGCCTTGGGTCACCCCGGTGTCGCCCCTTGGGTATCAATAACACCCGTTTGTCAACACGGCAGTGCTCAAGAAGGAGACCTGGCGGGATAGCGTCTCCCGGGGTTAAGACAGGGGCAGGGTATCACGCGTTCTGCCCGGGGTTGGTTGTCGAGGTCGGCATATAGACAGATGATGGTCTTCTTCGATGCCGTCGGTGTCAACCTTCTTGACCTCGTCCCGCTGTACGTGGTGGTGGTGAGACTGGGTGAGCGCCATCGGAACGCGTTCCGCTTGCTCCAGGGCACGAAAAGAAAGGAGTCTATCCACAATGATGGTATTTTTACAGTACATATACAACATGTTCTTAAAAAACAGTCACAAGCAACCCGGAAGAAGTCGCTTTCTCCTGTAGGTTGTGATCCAGCAACAAAAGATCTACAACAACTGCAGCCGGCGCTTCTTTGAAACGCAACGCAAAACTTACATCTCGAGACATATCGCGGGCGGACAGAGGACACTACCCCGCTTGCTGTGTTGCCAATCGATCAAGAAACAACGACGTTCAACGCATGCAGATGTCACCAATCAGTCGAGAACCTCTTTCTTGCCACCGGTTCGGTGTCCGGTCCTATGCGCGGCAACTCAACAGCGACAACCATAGAAGTAGGTCTTGGTGTGGGATTCGTAGCTGAGGCTATGGTCAAATTCTAGTGCGTTATCTTGTGTGTAGCTTGAAGTCCTCGACTCTCCGGTCCTCAAAGCGATTGCGCGTGCCGCCCCAACCCGCGTTGGCCCGTGAAACCGTTCTCCCTTCTGGCATAAATCCACCTTTACCTTCCGAGAAGTGAACGCACGGGCAACGGGACCACACGACGTTAGGCGTCTCCAACCGCGCCTCTTCATTCATCTACCAAGTCCTATTGGGTAGCTTTTGGCCAATAAACCTCAAGATTCTTCTGTAGAACCTACATAGGGCAATGACCTAGCAGTCTCTCCCACCGGACTGCATTGTCGATATTAATGATACTGCTATCGTACATTTCAACTCTGGGAAAAACACTACACATTTTTCCAAGTCTTTCATTTCCACTCCGAGAGGGCTACCGCTTATTCCGGACGGCGAGCGAGGATAGCGGCCGAGTGCACCCCTCCGGCGCTGATGGACTGCACGCGCCAACCCTCTAGCTGCAGGTCCGAGATCTCCAGCGGAAGCATGCTGCCTGAATCGACCTCCTCCTGTGATGAAAGCAAGATGGGAATGTGGGAGAATAACTTACCGGCACACATCATCACTTGGCAAATGCCATGGGACCAAGATGGCGACACCCAAACACCATGTTCGTCTACACGTGAAACTACTCACTTGAACGCCAAGTCTCAATGTGCTGCTCTCGGAGCGTCTTTTATGTGCCCAAAATCATACGACCACCTTGAAAGGAGAGTCGAGAAGGGAGCGTAGGAATCGAAATACCCTACACCTCGCTCAATGGCGTACAACGGCGGCACCGTTGTTTGCCCTCTGCTATTGTAGATGCAAACGAACCTGGAATAGCACAATCATCCCTGCGAGTGAGGGAGTACTATTTTCTTGCTCACACCAAAGCAAAAACTTCGAAGCGCAAGCTTTCACGTACTACCGCTCTCGTTCTCTCTCTTACCGTGTTCATCTCCACGCCAAGCCTGCCGTCGTCCTGCCTGCCGAACCCAAACACCCTCCCCGATGACGTCATCACGAGTGAGTGGCTCCCGCCGAGAGCAACCATCCTCGCCGGATCCGTAGTCCGGACCGCCGGCCCCCCTCCAATCTCCGCCACCGGTGGCGGAGAGGGCGGCACGACGGCGGCACTAGAATCTGCGGTGCCCCCGAAACCGTGCACCGCCCCGCCCGGTTTGTCGCTCGCGGGAACGGCGCTTGCTGCCGATCTTGGTGACGGCGGGACTGGGGCAGGGATGGGGCCCCTCTCCAGTGGGGCGGGAGTGAGGTGCCACTGCGTGACAGCAGTTGGAGGGAAAAAAACATGTACGACATGCAGACGTGAGAGGAGATCAGGGTCCACGAAGCATGTAAGCTGTGGCAGCAGATACCTGCCTACTTGTCCTGAACGAGTTGAGCAAGGTTAATACACCGCTGTGGCATCCGACCTCCTCTGAAAGAGGTAAACGGCGATTTGGACTGTGCGAGAAGCGCCAGGAGGCTTGACGCGAACGGCATTACAAACAACACCGGCAGTGGTGACGCCCGAAAACGCGAGTCATGCCTTCCGGCGGACACAAGAACAACGAAAGGTTGGACAAGCTCGTGCGCACGCACGGGGAGGGGGAAGGAACCGACAACCCGAAGTTGGGAGTACGAGGCAGCTGCATTCGCTGTTCCCCCGTACAACTCAGTGGGGGTCCCTCAATAGTGCCGCAGCCCGATATCATGCAGGTGAAATGGCGTGATACGGATAGAATGAAGTACTCAAGATGGCCCATGGTTAGTGCCGGATGCCCGGTATCGTGCCGGTGAATCTGGCGCGCGCATACATACCGGCACTTTTGAGGGACCCCCACCACCTCTGCTGTACCTGGCTTTTCTGGTCTCCGAGGCCGAGACGCCCGTACTCTCCCCTTCCGCACATCCACACCCCGCCCTTCTCGCCAACCACTGCCGTGTGCCACCCCCCGCAGGCGACTGCTTTGGCCTTCTGCTTTCCGCCACCGGAGCCGTTCCCCTGCTGCTCAACGAGAGAGCGCGTAACACAAGGCAGCACGCACAAACGCAGACATAGACACCCGCGCCGTTTTCTTCCAGCCTTTCTTTGAAACCATGGTTTTCTGGTATTGAAGACAGTTTGTTCCAGGTGCATTGTATTTCCGTGCCAAGATAATTGGCGTAAACTCAGACTTTGAAACACGGCCTGCTGCTGCTTTCTGCAGCCCGCGCTGCGTTCCTCTAGAACCGAGAGATAATTCATAGAAGGGTTAACGACGATGAGGCCTTGCTTCTCCGGCCTTCGGAAAAGGCTTCTGCTGCAGACCTCACAAACTCGTTTTCTCCGTCTAGGCGCTTATCTCGACCCAGGCGACGTGCTGCATGTGCATGTACGCCAAATTGATTGTCGAGAACGTGGAAATGTATTGCGCTCAAGTATTGTGTCGAAAGTTCTTGGTACACAGAAGCCACAAGGCTCTGGGCAGTTGTAATAATGCACATCTTTTTGCCTACTATTGGTATGCCGGTTGCGGAACAGCGGTAACAGGGCAGTGTGTGTGCTTGCCATGGATCCCCTGAAAAAACATACTGGCTCTTTATGGCACATCGATTCACTCTCCAACCCAATCCGCTCAACGCAACATGGTTGTAGATCGCTCCCGTCCTACCCATCTAGCAGAAAAACTCGACCACTATTGTGGGCGTCGACGATGCCTGACCGTACTTCAGAAAATAGCAAACGCCCCCTTGTGTTTGCACCTCTGTAGTAGCGTCAGGTAGCCCACGTCAATCTAAAGGACACTCCGTACCTCCGCGTGAGAGACGTCTGTCATGTCCTGCAGCGTGACGCGGTGGGGTTGAAAGAGACCACCCTTTTTTTATCCAGAGAGAGCAGAAGGCCAGCACGGGGGGGGATGCGACACCAGCGACAAGCACAAGGGTCGAGGCAAAGGCAGCGGTCATGAAGAGGGGGGGGGGGGGGCGGCGGGGGTGAGCCAGAAGAGGAGAAGGAGAGGGACAGGAAGACACGGCGACACGTGTCGGAGAGGTAAATAGAGAGGGAGGGTGTACCACTGACGACAAAGTTACCACAGGTTGCACAGATGTGCATCATCGTCAGGGTTTTCAGCTCGGCGTTACCGCATGTCTCGACTTGTGCATTTGTCCGGAAAGCGAGACATCCTCGACACACGACGCGGCTCCGAAAACTGCAGCATTCACCCATTCCCGTCAAATGTCTGTCTTCCGCTGTATAGGGTATAGCGTGTCCCGGATCATAGTGATGTCGGCGTCAGCGCATCTTCTGTACCGTGGGTGGCTGTATCATGTTAGAGACCCTGTCACCTTGAGAAGGGCTGCGTTGCTGCACCCAAGCATCCCGAAGTCTTCCTTGCCCCACGTGTAGCACTCCCCGTCCGTCGTCACCGCCGCCGTGTGAAAACCGCCGCACGCGATCGATTCCTTTTTTTTGGGAGAAAATGATCGGCGTGGGGGGTCGGGAGGGTACTAGTCGGTGTCATGCATGTCCATGTACAACAACAGCACCACCACCCCCACCACCACCACCAACACCACCACCAACAACAACACAGAAAAATAACTTACACACGTCAAAGCTCCTCCTGACTGCCCTCGCGCGGCCCGCACCACGAACAGTCTTGCAAAAACCACGCAATAGAAATAACAAAGACGTAAACATACCCACGCTTAAAGCCATTTTTTTTCCCGAAGTAATCTCATAGCTTTACATCTCTAAGACCTTTGTGACGTGCCCACAAAACACAAAACCTCGCCAGCCACGCTGTTGCTTACAAAGGCTTCCAGACGCGTGGGACAACAACACCATCAAGGCGACGCCTCACCGTGCGGCGGCCTTCGAGCAACCCGCGAACCCTCCTCGGCCACTCGACCCCCATCACCCCCGACGAAGTCTCGTGGACCCATGCCGCGCCGATCCCCAGCTGCCCGCTGTCCGCACGCCCCCAGCAGTACACAACCCCCTACATCAGAGTCATGGGCAATTGAGTAGTCAGCGCACCGTAGCAGCGCAAGCTGGCTTCTTGAATGCGGCGAGAGGATGATGCGCTAGCAAACACTCTCTCTAGGACTACAGTATGCTAAGAGGGAAGTGGGCATTAGACCGGGAGAAACATCGATGCCTGGGAAGCAATAAGGTGGGATCAGTCGTTCTTTCTAGAGAGGGTAGAGACGTCCTTAAGGTCTCCGGTGAACAACAACATGCTGTGTCACGTGTCCTGCAGCAGTTGCGAACGGACAAGACGAAATAGAGGAGGGTACGCACGAAAAAAAAAACTAGAGTCGAACTACAGGCAGAACAGCAAAGCACACGCCACCCGCGAAACAACCACTTTTATTGTCCGAGGCCCATCTTCTTATTTACTCTGTGGGGCAATTTAACAGCAACTATATACCCCTCTGTTCGAAAATATGAAAATATAAGGGCTATTCGGGTATAAGCGCGAATAGCCCATTTGTCCCTATATTTCCGAACGTATAGTAGGTTTCAGAATACAGCAAGATTCTTGACTAGGCCTCTGTTCCTACTATCAAGTTCGTTAGTTTTTATCTCCTCTTGAGCCTGCATTTCTCAACTCCCTCCCAGATTGTGCTTAGGTGGCGGCGCGTTTGGCAGACAAGACGTGCACTGCAGAACAACTGCAGAACAAGGTCAAGGAGGAGAAATTCGTCTCGAGATCGCGACAAAATAGACAAAGAGTTCACACCTCGGCGGTAAGAGCGGCCGTGTGCATTCCTCCGCAGACGACAGTCTTGGCCAGCAGCTCTGTCTTGGGGGCTGTCTCCATCTGAGGCGGCGCAGGGCAACGTCACGTCGCGACATGTCACAAAAAAGAAACACGGCGGCGGGAAGGTAGGTACCCCAGGCAACGTAGAGTGACTAGACATGAAAATGACCCAGTGATACAAACAGGCGTAGTGTCGATGGGGAGAATTCGAACAAGCGTTAGGATAGCGCATGTCGTCCCAGAACAGCTATACTAAACCTCCCTGTCAACACAGCTGGATGGACGTTGGCTCATGCGTTGTCTATCGAACAACCTTCGCTACACCGCTTTTTCTCTCTTTCCACCCCCCCCCCCCTTCTCTCTCTTCGACTTCTGTCTCTGTTCTCGTTCTTTCTGTATCTTTTTATCTCCTCTGCATCTTGTTGTCTCTCTTTTTATTCTCCCTTGGAGGCTGTGTCCATATCGAAGGCGCACATAAGAGAGTCCGACCCCAAACATCGACGCGAGTTTGAGTCGGCTTTGACTTGCCAAGCCTTGGAGTGTGCACTCCTGCACACCAACACAGAGCATATATCAGAACAGCTGGACTGTATCCTTGTGCTGACTTGCCCGTAGAGAAATGACAGTAGATACTAACCTCCGTATACACACAGCAATCACAAAGGCGTAGCGACAACATCGACGACCTCAGCAGACACGCAGCAAGCACAAAGACGTAAGTCACCACAACAGCGTATTTATCTTCTTTTTCTTCTCTCCTCTCACCGCCAAAACCGCCGCCTTCTGCGTCATGCTCGAGTGCCTCGTGAGCCCCGTGGCGCTAACGCGAGGGGAGCCAAGCGGACTTTCGGTCTCCGAAAGCATCACTTTCCCTGGCAAGGGCTGCATCCCCTGCGTAGTAACCGCTGGGCCCAGCCCGAGCTGCGGCGAGGAGGGGGGCACCGGGTTGTCGCAGTCATGCATGAGCAGGGGGGGGGGGCGTTGCGTGGGCCGGTGGCGGGCAGGAGAAGTGCCCAATCACTACATCACTACTCGATGTCTTTCAGTGTGTAGACCACACCATCAAGAGTTCTGTTCTGGTTGGGAATGAGGTCCGCCGCTGTGTTCATCGGAGATTCATTTCCAACAGTTGAGACTGTTGCACTGAAGCAATGCCTTTGATGGGCTGGCAATGATCCAGTCGATGCTGCTACTGTAATGATGAAGAAACGTCGCACATCGAAATCGTGTGAATCTCAGGCGAAAAGCCTCATTTCGATGTTGCGTGTCCAGCTTGATGCGTAGATGCGATCTAAAACAGAGGAGGAGCGGTAGAGCAGGCAAACTTGATCTCCTCAACTACCACAACACCAGCAGCTAGCAGCAGACCTGACCGTAGCTGCTTCCCCCCCACGTGAAAACGCGCCCACCCTCCAACACAGCGGCCGAATGTATGCCTCCTGCGGAAACCCAGGAGACGGGTCCGAGGGCCGCATCACCCTCTCCCGTCTTCAGGGCCTCGATCACTCTAGGACAACCGACGCTGTGGTCGTCACCATGCCCCAGCTTAGTGGGTTTTCGTGCGCCGTCGCAGTGACGGTTGGGCAGCCGAGAAAGTTACGGAATGAGACAAAAACCGTCAGGGTGAACGGTAGAAACAAAGGTTGGATTGGGTTGGGATTCATGGGTCGCTGGGTCCGACGGGGGTCCTGGACGGGTTTGGTAATGGTTACGGAGGGGGCGGGGGTGGCCGAGGGAGGCACGAAAAATACGCTAGGATAGTCCGAAAATATTTCCGTATGGTGGTATGGATAACAACATCGGCATGTCAGAAGACGCGCACAACGAAAGACTAACCGCCTCCTAAGTACACCCGGTCAAGGCGTTCCTATAGTTGAGAAATCGAGTCAGCAGTGCTACTGCTGCTGTTGCGTCTCAACAATGAGAGGGTAGGTGGGTAGCACACGAGTTCATCATCGTCCCCCCCAGCCTTCCTGTTCGGTGCTTGGCGTGTAGTTGTGTTGCCATTCTGGTTTAACGGTACAGACAATCGTACATGGCAATGAGCACGCACACACGCTCATGCTCAAAACGATGCTACTGACACTGACGTGAGCGTGGTCATTGGTCCTGGAATGACTGAGGCGAGCAGAAAATGAACTCTCGCGCACCACCCTATTCTTTTTTGTAATAGTTTTCACCAGCAGTTTTCATGAAAGATGTTTGGCCGAAGAGACCACTTGCAACGCGCGAGCATTTACCAAGTACCCCCCCCCCTCAGTCACACCTGGCCGCAGGCCCCCCATCCCCAGCTGTACGCCTCGCCCCCCTCAACCGTTGCCAGGGTGTGTCTCGACCCGCAGGAAACTTGCAACACCGCCAGGCCCGAGAGGGCTCTGAATAGGGGAGAAAGTGAAAATGAAGTGCGTACGGGGGGGGGTGTACTCATGTAAACGCATGCCGTAGTTGGTACATCGTTGACCTCGCATTCCTACAATGCCGGGACGGAACGAAATGCCGGTTTTTCGCCGGCCCAGGCTATCACATCACAAAGAAGAAGGGATGGAACCAGAAGCTGGTAGTGTCATCATCATCCGTGCGTGAGGGTAGAGGGGGGGTATATGATATATGCACACGCGGGGGCAGGCGACCAAGAGGAAGATGGTTGGAACGGCACACTCGGTGGGGTGGTCATTGATGCTACATAAGTTAGTTTGCGGACGCGCTGCTGGCAGATGTTGGCCAAGAACCAGTTCGTTCGTTTCAGCATTTGTGGGAACTACGGCAGCAAAGCGATGAGGATAAACAGACAACGAAAGCGAGCACCGAGTCACCTGTCGCCTCCTGCGACACGAGATCTAGGGGTTTAAGGTAAAGGTAACAACGTTTCTTGATACGAAAAACGTCGCAATTACGACCACAATCCAATACAAACCAGGCTGGGAAAAAAATAGACGAAAAACATGAACCACGATCCAGCAGTCTGGGAAAAATAGAAAAAAAAGAACACGTGAACTGCGATCCAACACACACCAGTCTGAGGAAAGAAAAAAAAAAAACACGTAACCCCTCAACAAAATACACCGTGTGCACCTGCAAGGGGAGGCCGTCCAGGCGAAGGCATCCGTAGAACTGCTGCCCATTGCGGGGGACCTGGCCAAGTTGCCCGAGCGTGGGGGCGTGGAGCCGCGCGAGTCGCGACCGCTGCCCGGAGCCGGTCGCATGGCGCCCATCCTCGTGGGTGCTGAAGGAGATAGTGGCGTTGACACCTGGTGGGAACGGTGTTCGTGGTTGTGGGATGAAGACCTGGGGGGGAGGGGGTGTACTCATAGTCGTGCATGCCGTGGTCGTTAGACCATTGACCTCGCATCCCTACAAAGCCGGGACGGAGCACGCCGGGTTCTCACCGGACCAGGCTCTCACATCACCAAGCGCGAAGCGGGGGGGGGGGGTCAGAATTTCCACCTCGCGCAGTCAGCACACCACGAGACGAAGCTTGCGTTTTACTTGGGACACAGGCGTCAGCATCATAGTGCAGCCGATCGAAATGATGGCACACGTGTCAACGCCATCTTGACGTCCAGACAACCGCAACGGTGACGCGTACATAGCTATGTAGAGAGCGCGAAAAACGTTGCGGTCAAACGTTGCGGTCGTCCTCCATTGAGACGGGTTCCGCGCCCGGCCTACGTGCAGCAGCAGGCTCGGTTGGGCATGGCATTGAGGCGTTCCTCGGGTGGGTCGAGGGGGATCAGACGAAGGGGAGTGGTCGCCTGGTCTCTAGTTTTCATGACCGTCAGGAAGTACTTCACACTACCGTAGGTGAAATGACGTAAGATACCACACCCCCTGGACCGATTTTCAAAGCTCGATTACTTGATGACGAAGAGTATGCTAAACTCAAATAATATGTTTTCAGAAAGCTCTCGACAAGACTGTTCCAACTCCGCCATTTTCGGCACCTGTTTGCTCCTTCTATCGAGAAATCGAGCTTTAAATATCGGTCCAAGGGGTGTGATATCTTGCGCAACCTACGGTGCTTGTCGTATCGGTGTGCGGAGCAAGATTTTTTTTGGGAGAGCGTCCAAGGACGCCTCTGTGCTGAACAACACTCTTTTATTTGATTGTACGTGTAGTCAGTCTTGGAGCTTTCGGAGAGCGACAACCTGGTGCAGAGCTACTCCCATGGGCGGCACATTTCTCTGGTCATCCACAGCAAAGCGAACGCACCATATATAGCATAGTGTCAAGGGGTTTGACCGGCCTTACACCGAGCACCCGGGAAATATTCAAAGTATGAGATAACTTGAATACTTGATTCGTGTCACGCGATCTTCGCCGGCATTATTCAGGGCGACCGGCCTTATTTTATTTTATTTTTTATTTTTTTATTTTTTGTCTTCACTTCAAATCAGCGCTCACAGCACTAGTGCTGTTTACTCCAACCCGTGGTCACACAGAAGAGCCCCTCTCTACCCTCACCTCCTGCGGTACTTTGCCTTCAATTTTTAATGCGAGAAGAGTTCAGCACTCTCTTCCCTCTGTGTGCACACGAACTAGCGCTATCCACTAGACCAGGAGCGGAAGCGAGAGAAAAACTCACTCTGCAAGAAAAGCTCGCTTACGCCGGAATTCGAACCCCTGACCTGACCTCTAGAAGGTTTCGCGGATACCAACTAGACCACCGGGGCGACCGGCTCTACTTATGTAAGCGGCCCAAAGGATTCTGCGGACAAGTGGCGCGTTGATGCGTCGAATATACCGTAGATCGCACAAGATAACACCTCCCTTGGGATCGATTTTCAAAGCTCGATTACTTTGCTGTATAAACAGTACGATGCCGAAATGCCGTCGCTGGAACCATCTCGTCGAGAGCTTTCCGAAAGCGTACTATTTTGAGATGGCAACCTATTTAATAGTCGTCGTGGAGTAATTAGAACATACGCTATGCCAAGCTATGCCATAAAAGAAAGAGCGCCCGTTCGCGGTTGTACATACCAAGTCTTTGCAGTTAGTGGGAAGGAAACCGGCTGGGTATTTTTGCTCTATATCCAACCACAGATGAATGTACCCCGCCCGTGCGCAATCAGAGGCAGACTCACCAACCGGCCGCATAGCCGTTGTACTGCTGCAACTGCGATTGCCTGAGATGTCCTGCGCATATTCTTCTATTCTTAACACACCATGGACAGCCTGTACCTTTGCGGAGTAGAGTAATTGCGAAGGGCGCTAAATTTAACGGTCAAATCCAGAGAAAAAAATGCGTTGCGAAAAAATTGCGAAAACGATAGAAAACGGTGTGTACCGGCGGGGGTTTCGGTGGCAAAAAAGGTACGCGAGGATTTGACCCCCGAAGGAGTGTCATGCTGAGGTTGGACAGACCCACAAATCCGCTATGCTACCAATGATATAATACCATTTTTCGCATCTTACGCAGCTTTTGTCTGGCGTACTACTGCTGTGTGGTATTCTGGTGACAAACTCTGGCCTGCTGTACGCTGTATATACATAAGTGCATGTGTACATGTGTACATTTGTAGATATGCGTACCGTCGGTGCCATGACACAAGATACCACACCCCTTGGACCCATTTTCAAAGTTGGGATACTCAACGATGAAGAGGACGCATAAATCATCCCGTACGTTTTCGGAAAGCTCTCGACGAGACGGCTTCAACGCCGCCGTTTCGCGGCGCTTCAACTCTTGGTGCTGTGGGGAAATCGAGCTTTGAAAATCGGTCCGGGGGCGTGATAGCTTACGTCACTTTACGGCATGTGTATCCATAACAATTGCTTCTCATCGCGGTCTGGCGTCCTCTCCCTACCAAAAACACACGTGTGTGCAAACACACGTGTGTGCATGCATATGCGGTCAGCACACGTGACATGAAGCGTGCAAAAACAATAAGCCGGTGCGGTGTCCTACACAAGATCTTCCATGAGGTATGCGTAGGTCTAAAACATTACCGTTATAGACTACACTGCTGAGGACCATGGATACACCGTTCACGATGAACGAAAAGTTGCCCACCTTGGCGCTCTCATCCTCCAGATGCCGTCGAGACAGGCTTTTGCAAGTGCTGCCGAGCTGACCTGTCGCAGACAACAATGGCAGGCGCCACATGTCGCTGTTCTTGGTCTAGGATGGTGAGATCATGAGGGGTGGACCGTGCGCCGAGTGCAGGCGCTCCAAAGTTGGTTGTGCAACAACAGCCGAGTTGCGGATCAAAACGCTCACAAAGACACACCAACGCGCTGCCAGAGTCTCACCATCGTCGTTTTTGCCCCAAAGCAATAGCATGGTGGAGACCATCTCCTCCAATAGCTGTGAACCCGCGCGCGGTGTCAGAGCACTAGAACTAGGCAGAGGTCTGTGCAGAGAAGATAGACAGATTTGGGCGCTGTTCGGTGATCTGCAAACACTATAGGAGGGCATCCACAGATGATGGTGTCCATGCCCCCTCACTCATTGTGTTGAATACCACCAGAGGGGCATGTGGGTGGTGGGTGGTGGTATCACTGGTTTACTCTGGTGCGTTGGAGTAAGAGTTGATAACGCGGCATCTGTGGAAACACGATTGGCCCACGCTATTGAACTGGCCATGCCAGATACTGGCTGAATTGTGGGGAACCTTTTGGTTGGGTTGGTGCGGTGAACGTAATTTGAAGAGAGCGAAACACAAAAAACGCCTTCGAATCATGCATGCATGTATTGTGATCCAGTTTTTTTACGGCGACCTTTTGGGCGACCCACACCCAAAAAACCTCTTGTATGACCTCGGCTGATGCGTTAAAAAAACACCGAAATGTGTAAAACTGCACATGCCGTTACGAAAGGGACAACAACGCCACAGATGTGACATAACAAAATAAATACGAAATATGCATTATTATTATTATCGGTAAATATTGAAGGATTGAGTGCAAACCCTCTGCTCACTGCATATGTTTAGCATATATATGCATACGTTACGACGACCGTTCTTTCTGCTCTCCGAGGTATTCTTCGCACAGCACGTCCTCATCTACCTCAAATCAACCTTCTAATTGAACAGAGAGCACCCAACAACGCTGTACGCTGGGACCAGCGTAAACGACACAGGGACGTACGTACTATTTTCCCGCCCGCCTTCGCGCGTGGGATTTCTGTCACACTCACTCACGCACGCGGGCTGCACTAAGCCAACCGACATACATGCAGATCGAGCCACGGGATCAAAACTCCTCGATCAGCCGACATATATATCTACGAGCACTACATTTCTAACTTCAGCCCACACGATCACTGCTTAATTAAACGCCCGGATAGGAAAAGGTGTAACCTGCCCCCCCGTACCCCCCTCTCGCTCGACCGGCATTGATTGGAGCAACGACACCGGAACACTCAAGAGGAGGTTGGGGTGTTGCAAATACTGTCCAACTGGCGAAAAAGGCAAGCAAAACCTTACATAGCTAGGAAATAATAAACTGAATACCCAACGCGTACGTGCGCGACACCACGAAGAAGACGATGGTCTCAGTCTTCGCGTCGCGCAACAGCCGCGAAACAAACAAATCGGGTGACATGTATGTATGTGCCGGTGTTGATCCCTTCACACCACCACAACGCGAGCTGACTCTCACATTCACATCCACAAGCGATCCAATCATCCTCCTCTTCTCCGTAATCTCCAAGGAAAACAAATGGATTTCCGAGAGGTCCATCGGTGACCAAAGCAAGAACAAGATCCAGCAAATGAACACAAGATCCAGGGAACGAAGGATTGTACATCTCGCCCTACCGCGAAAAAGAAAAACAAAACAAGTAGTGCCTGAATCCAGAAGGCAGCAAGGTGCCGTAGAAAAGGGGAAAGAGCCCGAGCCACAAACCTTAGGTGTACCTCTCACTTGGTTGGCTTTGTGCACGTGAAGCGCTAACCGTGATGAACCTAAAAAAGAACTGCACGTTCGTTTCTCACAACCCCACGCCTCCACATTTTTTCGTTGTTGTTTTAACTATTACGTTCATACATGCCGTGGTCCACGACACCACACGCCTCCCAACAGCTGAACTTGAAACAAGACGCGATTTTCGGCCACGAAACGCACGCAGGGGTCTCTCCTGCCTCTATCGCGGTGCAGACACAAGCGCCTGGCTCGACCAAGCACACGCATACACACACAACCGCACACCAGAGAGCACTCTTCTTCCTCCCATCTACGGAAAAAAGAAAAAAGAACGATGTTCCGACCCATCTACGGAAAAAACGGAAAAAGAACGGTGTTCCGAATACGGTCTAGGTGAGGCTGCCTAAGGACCGTTTTATACAGCAGCTACCGGTATTTCGCTTCCAATTTTCCAAATTTCCAAATCCGTTGAACCTCGATTTGCGGTCGAGGGAAGAAACTTGGAAATTTGGAACTACTAGCACCGCAAACTCGTTCCAAATTTGGGAAATCTGGAAAGTCGGACATTGGAAGCAAAATCGCTGCGAACAAACGGCCCTAAATGACACACGCAAGACGGACACCCGTCGTACAGTAAAACACGATATACAAATAGAAAACAAGAGTGCGCGTTTCCCTCTTAACCAGTACCGCGCACATCTCTCTCTCTCTCTCTCTCTCTCTCTCTCTCTCTCTCAGCAACACACATTCTCCTATTCTACCCCGTCTCTCATGCACACTCTTCCCGCCTAGGAAACCCAAGGAATGGAGCGTCCGAAATGAGTCACTCCTCCCATGTCTGTATGGAAGGTTTCCACAAAGGGGCCGTGGTAGCATCAATCCCCCTCTGCTATCTTTGCCCCGCAAGCGTTGTCTAAGCCGCGGAGCGGACGGGCTGCGCTCTTGGGACGGATACAAGCAAAGAAAAAAGTCTACCAGAGAGACAAAAAATAAGGAGTCCACAAAGGGGCTCCAAATTCCCAGTTGTCTTCTCATCGCTGGGGGCTGCGATACAACCACTGTCACCCACCGAACCCATCACATCCCTTGAGGTATGGTACACGCGTGGTGTACAAGAATCCCGGACACCTCTTCACAAACAAACCCGGTCTCGAATACCCTGATATCCGTATGTCATACTCATACTCATACTCATCTCTTCAACAAGTACCTGGTGTACGTCGCTATTCTGAATCAATCCCGCAAACAAGTCCAAAGGATACCCCGAAACGGCCCAATACGACCCCCCCCCCAAGTAGGCAAGTATCTTTCTACATGAAAAGATACGATGACCCGGATGAGCATATCTATTTTTTCCCACGCCATGGTTCTACATTTGTGCCCAACAGGCCCACTGACTACTAGACTACTCTGACGAGGGCGGCTCGCTCCACCCCAGCCCCCTCTACCGCTGCCGCTGCTGCTTGCAATCCTGCCGCGCGTTGACAACAGTCCCTCCCGCCCCCCCCCCAGCTACATCACATGCGCCGATCAACGACATCGATTGTGGCACTCATCACTCAGCACTCGATTTTCAGTGAAAAGGCTGCTATCGAACAGCGTCTTGGCGGGAAACGGTTTGCGGCGGGATGTCCGCCTCCACCGGGGTCACCGGAACTCCAGTCGCCGTCGCCGCGCACATGTGGATAGTCCCGTTGATGATCATGAACGATCCACAGATCTACGGTCGCACGAGACGTCAGTGCCGTGCAGAGCGAGGGGGGGGGGAGTCATTTGCCATGTCCTAGACGTTGGTCGACCATCGATAACATACTCCTGGGAAATTTCCCACGGGAGGTAGAGCTACGAAGTAATTATTGCTTGGTCGCTGCGATAGCGGATCCTTCGCCTCCGCACCTCCAAACAGTGCTGCTTCGAACAGACGTAACCAAAGTATGCATACACCTTGTGAGGGAAGATTCTAGGGTAAACTGGCGTGAGAGAGTCGGTCCAAAACGCTGGCAACAAGCGACAGCACCGCTGGCGTGCCACCGCACAAGGAAGCCAGCACGCCCCCCCAGAGCCTCTCTGATACACCTTCCCTAATGTCGCTTCTCGTTTAGGCCTGATCCTTGCAAAAGGGTTGCTTGTTTCCCGCCATGGCCTCCAGTCTGGGCTGTATGATACCACGACACTCAAAATAATCCAAGACCACCGCGAGGGCAAACAGGGGGCCCACACCACCCAACTAAGATACAAGTATAACGGAACGGTATCGTGGGAGACGCCCACCAGATGGCAACAGCAATACGAAGAAGCACTTAGTTCTACGGCGGCAAGTATGCTGATGATGTGTTTGCAAACTTCCAAGATTTGTGGCCACTTTCCATGCTTTACTACCCGTGGAAGGACGGGAAGGAACAGCAGTCCAAAAAAACAAAAGGAAGACCCACCTGAGCGGTGCGGATGAGACAACCCTTCGGCAGAAGGAACGTGAGGACCGTTGCTAGTGTTCTCCTCGCCTCTGGTACGAACTCTCTAGGCGTGCGGTGCAGGTTGGCGTCCACCATGGTGGTGAAGATATCGCGGTAGCTCAGGTGGGGCTGCACAGAAAGCGGCGGACACAGACACACACCACGATTTGGCAAGTTGAATTACTCGGGTGGAAAAGAGCAGTTGCGTATGTCGCTGCAACCACGCTTGGTAAGCTGAACTTTTCGAATGAAAAACTGCGTGTATCGCGAGAACAAGACGCATGTGTCGTTGGGGTCGGGTGGGGTAGGGGCAGAGTATGCATACGGTGTGCTGCTCGTCGAGGGAGCGCACGCAAATAAACTACCGTATACGACACAAGATAACACACCCCCTAGACCGATTTTCAACGCTTGATCTATCAACAGCAGAAAGATTCGCAGCGCCAAAAATGGCGGCGTTAAAGCCGCCTGGTTCAGAGCTCTCCGAAAACGTGTCGTTTCGTATTTTGCATCCTCTTCGTCGTGGAGTAATCGAGCTTTGAAAATCGGTCCAGGGGGTGTGTAATCTTGTGTCGTACAGTATACGGTAATATAAGAACGATGGGACGGTCGCATCGCATGCCGCGAGAACATGGAAACCCTGGGCAGTACCAGTGCTGCCCGTACACGGCCGCACACCATAGCGCCAAGGGATGTCACCGGGCTTGTACAGGTCGACCGGCCGTATACAGGGACCCCTATTTCACAGAGAATTCAAAGGCTACATGCGGCGAGGTCTAAAAAAAAACTCGAGCAGCGGTTTCACGTTCAAGGCGTGGCACTGTACACGTGTGCAGGTGAATAATTGTCTCGCGTAGATACCTGCAGCAGCTTGAGTGTGGACACGTTGTGCGGGATGTGGGACAGGTAGCCCGCCATCACCCCTGCCATCATTGACCCCGCCGCCGTCCGCGCGAAGGCGTTCTGGAAAGTAACCTGTTGTTTGTTGTTGCATTCAGCAGGCATGGGGCCACCGCAACCAGTTAGGGGAGGGAGGTGAAAGGAATAGGGGTGCGATAAGATGGGAGGGGGGACGGGGAAGTAGAGACAGCAGACACAGTGGGGGGTGGGGGGCATACAGATAGAGACACATTTCTGATACCAACCAACCGTGGTTTAGCGCGATTGAGCGAGGGCGAAAACACAAGACAGGTAAAGACGTCAGGCGACTCTGACCGAATCCGTCCGTGTGTAGATGTCTCGGGGTTGGGATCTCAGCAGCCTCTTCCGCTGCTGCGGCCACTTGTTAAAAAACTTTCTGGCACGGGCTTCACAAGCAGAGAGAAGCGTCGTTCTGTCATGACGACATTTTTTCCCGCTAAGCGTGCAACGGATGTGTGACACACGTCGTCGAGGCACTGGGTCGCCACACACTCATAAAAAACCACCACCTTTGGCGCAATCATGACGTTGGCGCAATCATGACGTTGGCGCAATCATGACGTTGGCGCAATCATGACGTCGTTTCAAGCCAACAGCAACAACGGTAGTAGACCACCAGTGCGGCCACCAAACAACCACCACTTTCGCGCGATCGTCATGTCCGTTCCAGTAACAACAACAACAACGCTACCTCTGCTCACCCGCTCTTCGCAGGCGTCCGATAGCTGGTTGATACCGATACCGAAGATCATTTCGCGTCCCCCCCTGGGGACCATGCCGCGCATCCAGCGCCGAGAAAGCGGCTCCTTGTTTGCCTCCGCGTTACACGCCTCTGCACTCGCACGCAAAAAAACGCCGGGGTTTCCAACATGCCAGAAGGCGTGAGCAAGAAGGGGAAGGGGGTACAAGTGAACACGGATATGACGTCCGTTGTTGTAGTCGTTGGTGTCACGCAAACTTTGCTAGCCGCCACAACGTGGCACAACACATCGGGGTTTCCATACTTACACAGAAGCGTGAATAGAAACGGTTAAAAGCGGTGCGATGTCAGGAGAAGAGGGCATGCGTCATCTGTGCAGCTGCTGCGCTGCCCCCCCCCCCCCCCCCCCCCTCCTCAAAAACACCAAAACAACAACAACAACACTCACCCAAAAACCTGCTGAAAAGGGTCATCATGAACCCGGGGACAAGTGCTGAACCCAACCGGACCCCCCTGGGGTTCCCGAAATCCCCCGGGTTGAAGTAATCCTTCCGTGGAAAACGAATGGGCCGAAAAACCGGGGGGGAAAAAGAACCACCGGGGGGTGGGGACCCTTTTTTTTAAGGGAACCCCCCTCTAAAAAAAAAGGGGC